CCTCTTTTAACTCAACTTCGTCGTTAAACCGCCGTCCACGTAAGTCCTTTTTCAAATATCCAAACAAATAATAGTCGCTGGGGGCCATATCTGGACTATAGGGAGGATGATCTATCTCTTGGAACCCACACTCTAAAATGGCAGCTTGTGCAACACCAGCAGTACGGACAGGTGCATTATCGTGCAAAAGACGCACGCCTCTGGTCAGTTTTCCACGACGTTTTACACGTATGTAGTCTCGCAATTTATGTAATAATGTTGCGTAATATTCACCATTGACAGCCTTCCTTTAATAATTTTAGCTGCTAACCCTTCTCTTGTCAAAAACTTTATGGCTGCTCTATACTCAATTTTCGTTATTTGCGACATTTTTTTCGGACACGTCTTGTTTAAAATGCTGTCAATAAAAAACTATTTCACGCAAGACTTCGATTTTTTTTCCTAGCCTACTAAGATATATATTTAAAAGTAGACAAAGTTTTATCGTAAGCTTTTGCTAGACTTCGCCTCTTCTCGCTGTATATTGGTATATAACAATATACAACAATAAGGGCAATTTATTATAACTTTTATTCTACGTGACAAAGAAGTCTGACATTTTAATGCCGCAAAACAGTGATCATCACGAGGCGCAAATTCCATATTTTTTTTTGGGTAATGAATATTACGTTTCCCAAAAGACGTTACGACTAGATAGCTTCAAAAAACGGAAGCCAACGCGTGGTGGGGGGCTGGCGGGGGTGGCTTTGCGGAAGCACTTTGGGGCGCTCGTGCTTTCCCCCACGCCTAAGACCGTTGCGGCAACCACGCGCTGCCTTCGACGCGAAGTCACGTCCTAAACGCGGAAGAAGTCCGTTTCCAAGGCGACGGGCACCGCGCGCCATTTTGTCCCCCGCCCCCTCGCTGCGAGCGCCCCAAATTTATATCCGCCTCATCCGCAGGCTCAAAAGAGATCATTACTAAAGCTTTCTACTCAATTGCGGATCGCACACGGTTTGATCTATTTGTCGGCGTTCTTTACCTGCCTTATTATTTCTTTCTTTCACCCCTTTCGGTTTTCCCTGCGGGATTTTTGCGTTTTAATAATAATAATAAACGGCTTTTTTTATTAGTCAAATAAAAAAAAACATATACATATTAACAATATAATACGAACAGTTCCGACTTGAGTCAGAGCGCAGTCCAGCCGAACGGGCTTCTCTACTGAACCCCAAATCGTCGGATTCTTGTACGATGTTTTTTTAAAATTATATGAAAAAATTAAAATATAATATTGTAAGATAGCGGTATAACGTAACTTAAGATTAATAAAAAAAAAACAACTATATTCACTGACAGAAACTGGGAGCTACAAAGCATATTTATGGACATTGGCATTGCACACTAAACAGGTATGGTCTGTTCATAGATATGAGAATGTGGGATTATCCAATGGTGGTCATTAACATACAATAAGCTATTATCTTCATTCGGGTTTAAAGGCCGTCGTCGATTGGAATTACTTCCTAACGTTTCGCTAGCACGAGTGACGAGCTTCTTCAGAGGTCCTTCCATCTCCGATGTTGGACGTAGACTGACGATTTCTCCTGCGCAGGTTGTATTTATGCCGATTGGTGGAGGGCGGGGCTTGTTCCGCTTCGGTTGGTCTCGGGATATCGATCGGTACTGCTCGGGCGTTCCTAAGGATCGGGTTCCAGATTTGGTTGAGTCTAAGGGTCTCCTCCTTTCGGTTGAAATTGTGTGGGTGTTTTTGAATCTCAATGGCTTCCCTGACTAGTCTGTTGTGATAGCCGTTGACCGATGCTAGTAACTTACAGCTCTCAAAGTGTATCCTGTGTTCCCCGCTGCCCAGTGCGTGTTCAGCCACTGCAGACTTCTCTGTATGTCCTAGCCTGCAGCTTGCTTTATGCTCCTTAAGTCTCGTTCCCATTGATCCCTTGGTAGTTCCGATGTAGACCTTTCTGCATGAACACGGAATGCGGTAGACTCCCGCAGCTGAAAGTGAGCCCCTCTTGTCCTTCGCTGACCTGATGGTCTGCTGGATCTTCTTTTTTTTTCTTTTTTCTTTTTTTCTTTTTTTTTTCCCTCCACAAAGTTGGCAAATCCTGTTAAACATATAGAAAAAGCATAACAATCGTATATCCATATTGCAAATAATATAGAACAAATAATAATTAGAACAGGCGATGATAGTGATAGTGATACTGATATATTATGTGAATAATTTTAAGTAATTTAAGTAGGTAATAAAAATAATTTGTAATTTTATTTTAGATTTAAACATAAATACGTACATAAATAAATAAATATTGTTTAGTATCTTTCCTAACAAAACCCCAAATAATTAAATTCTAAGCAAAGTACGGACCTGTTCGGCCATATTTCATTCTTACAGCTTGCGCGGGTCTTTCCTTAATTCATATCAGTTAGTCACTTTCTTATATCTATGAACAGACTTTATTTGGTGTACAGGGAAAGACTATGGCCTATTCTACAAATAATCCTATTTTTTGTGAAAATTTTCTTATTACATAATCAGCATGCGGTATTTTCGTGTACTAGCATGTCATTATTTATTTCAATTTTTATGTTTTCCATATTAACAGTACCCAATTTTTGTTTTTTCCAAAAAATACAAAATTTAGACTTTGACGTATTAATATTAAGTTTGTATTTACATAACCACGCTTCATCTGATCTATGTCACTACCAACTATATATAACATTGTCTCATCCGGGTATAATTCGATTCTGCTATCGTTAAAACTATACAGTACGAATAATAGAGGCCCCAGTACAGTTCCTTGCGGCACTCCATACATTGTATCGACGGTATCAGACACACTATTTTTAAATCTAACTTTTTGGGTTCTGTTATGCAAATAAGATCTGAACCAATTTAAAACTGAACCTCGTATGCCTAGCTTTTCCATTTTCTTAACAGTATAGTATTAACAGCTTTGTCACATATATTCACTATCACAGACTCACACGAATGTTGATGACGGAAACCAGAAGAAATTTGCAGCTATCTACTTCAAACTCAGCGAAGAGCTATAATTTTAAGTATATATCAAACTAATTTAAAACTAGATATGCTCATTTAAATACAGTATATTTTAAAAAGAATCGATGTATGCTCGATTGAAGTTGCTACGTAAATATCTAAAATTTTAAAATGAAGCGACAAATATTTAATTTGAATTACCTTTTAGTACAAATTATCACCCCGTACAAAGACTACTAGAAGTACGAAATATCGACCTCTGTGCAGTGAAATGCTTATCGAGTCTATTGTTTACGAAGCACACATCCAAAAGCAAGGTTATGTTATTGTTACAAGCAAGATAATAAGAAAAAATGGTGTACTCACTTGTAAAACGTCATATGTCACTCTACAAGGTTTTATTGCGAATAGCAAAATGGTGGAGAGCTGTATAATAGGTTTCAATTTGTGTTGACCTTTATACGTGACGCAACATGTTAAAAAAACTTTTAAGCCACCTTTATTATCGTATTCATTTCTTTTTCTAATTTTGTAAAAGTTCCTCGCGAATTAAGCAACGAAAGCAATTCGAAACTTGATAAACATGTACAAAGCGACCCTAACCTATAAAACGAAACGTTTCGGTAGTCGCCGTCGGATGGAGCCACTATCGGAAAGACGCGCGAGTCGAAAAAATATAACGTACGAAACATAAATATAATAAACGTCCGTTTCGGGTAAAACGCGAGAGCTTCGGGATAAGACGCGAACACGCTGGCCTCTGGCACCGGGAGACAATAAAAAAAGAATTATTAAGGAAGAGTCGGAATCCAGCAAATCCAGTCGGAGTTAGCGGCACAAGTTCGGGATCAATGGCTCAAGCCAAGAGCCATACTTCTTGCCGCCGTTCCCTTTCGCGTCGCCTTTCTCGCCATTTAAATTTCATTCGAGCAGGGTCGGAATTATGCGACTGCGAAATATTCGACGCTTCCCCGAGCAAGGCCAATATTAAATATGGCATAAAATGCATATAAAAATTCGTTTGCAACTGCATTTCCCTGGTAAACGCGAATCCAGCGTCGCGCCGCCATCTACCGGTCAAAACGACAACGACGAGCGTGGACGATTCCCTGACGGAAGGAGAAGTGGCCGATCGCAGCGTAGTTTCGCTACCGTTTCACAGAGTCTCATTTGTTAAATAAGCATATAATTTCTGAGTTTCTGTTATTTTCTGGTTGTCCGGCATAATATTACTTTGTATATTATATAGGTCGTATTTAACAGATAGAATCACAGATATCAAAATTCTTAGTTGGCGCAACCATGGTTCTTTATGGCATTCTTCGACCGCTGTTGCCAAATATTCTAAATGCTAATTTTTTGTTATATTCAGGGATTTTCCGATAGTATTCAGTTAATTTATGCAAAACATATGGCAGTAGCGTAGCAATTCCAATTTTCCAATAAATACATCTCAAAAAAGTGTAACGTTCATTCTACTTGGAATTCCTTCAGTTTTTATTTTTAGTTTTTCATTATTTAGGAGAGTTTTTTTGGTGTCTAGAATTTACGAATTTTATTTTCCATTAAATTGTTACATTTGTTGAAATGACCTTAAGACTTTGATTTTCATTTATCCGTTACGGTAGACCTTCTGCTGCCATAATGTTACCTATTACTTTCATGATAATAAAAAAACTAAAAATAATTACTGCATATTTTAAAATCGTAGCTTATTTATGTTGCATCGGAGACGTTGGGAGTTTTTCATGCAAAGGGGCAGTTTTATATAATCGCAATTTCGCAATTTTACAGAATGTCCTGGATAAATTGTATAAATATAGCAGTTTAGCAACACCGTGCATCACGAGGTCATTGGGCAACCACAGTTAAAATTTCCCATTTCGCTGTTTAAAGATGATGTTACACTGGTGAGCTTTGTTTTGGTTACTTTTCATCAAAAATAAACATAAAAAACAAAAGTAAGTAACAAAACGTATTTTATTCACACAACATTACATAATACATAAGGGCGTATAAATCGAATAGATTTTTTTCGAAAAATATGGAAAAAAGGACACTGTTGTAGATAATAAAATGTACTTTATTTCCGTAACATATAAGGAGCAGATGAGTGAAAAATATCACAGAATACAGAAGTAGCAGATAGCCAACAGAATATCGATACGAGGCAAGACGTTATTTATTTCTAGTACTCATCACCTAATAACTCAGTAACACAGGGAGCATCGTTACAAAGGTCAAAACTGGATAAAAAATTATTATTTTTATTTCTCTTGATTCCGGCACACCCTGTATATTTGACGGGGCCTAAGGTATCCTCATGCTGTTCGCGCATGCGTGGTTCAGCCTGTAGTCCACGTAGATCATTCCGGTGTTGTGCCAGTAGTAAAGGGCGCCGACTACGAAAAAGTGCCACCACTGGTGCGAATGGCCCACGAAATCGAAAGTGCCGGCAGACCATCGTTCGGGAATTTTCGCCAGGTAAATCCCGAACGCGGTCCCACTGATGACGTACATGCCGAAAACTCTCGGCAACAGGAGCTAACGTACAACGTCTAAGTCTTATTTATTCGAAATTACATAAAACTCAGTAACAAAGTGGCTGCGTTTATAAATCTCTTTTTGTTACAACCTGAATCGTATTCTATTCTGATCGCCTGCCTGTTAATGAAAAATTAACAAAGCCAAGTGTATTCTGGATAGTGAAGTAAACTTTCACCGGTTTCTTTCTGAAATTGAACAGATGATTTATCGACAAGGAGCCTTTGAAAGGCAACTGATTCGAAGGACAAAAGTATGCACATACAAGTTAAGTATGGGCAAATCTGTGACAAAGAAAGCATGCATAATATTTACACTGGCCACTTATTATGAAATCAACATTGCACGCCTCTTTAAGAGAATTAACATTCCCGAAATATATGTACAACGTCCTCCAGGTTTTGTAGTTCATAAATCTCACGAAATTTCATGAGGACTTCCATATAAAGCACTTATTTCAAGGCAGAGTGCACAAAATTTTATGTAATAGGGTCGACATTCAGTTTTCCAAATATAATTTGTTCCGCATCTAATACTTCTTCCAGAACAGACTTTTTCATTTTCACCCATGTAACTCCTATATTCCATCAGGCTTAATTCCACTTTTGCAATATTTAGATATATAAAAAAACTTTACGACTTTTTAACTAACGCAGAAAACATAAAAAGTTAAAAAAAAAAAGCAGTTAAAAGCATAACCAGATGCAAAGTACATCTCTTCTTTTTTTGCGTTCATTGGGCAAAGCTACTTTGGATGCTCGCCCATTGCCATTGACATTAGTCGATAGAATCCGAAATGAGTAAGATATAATTGTCGACTTACGCTAACCACGGGATTCTCGAAGCCGCCCATTTTGACGGCCCAGTGGAACGTCGGCAACACGCCGTACACGGCCCACGCCACGAACGTGGCCATCTTGACGTTGACGTTAACGTTGAACCGCGGCGCTTGCAGCGCCATCGCGACGACGAATATCGCGGTGACCGTCAGCAGATAAAAGTTTTGCAACGGCTGCGGTACAAATTCGGATTTACAGATGGCGCTGTCGCCCATTTCGTGCGCTCACCTGATCGCACCAGAACGCGTAGTAAATGCCGGACACGTAAATCGCGTACAGCGAGAGCGCGATGCCGAACAGGTCGTAGCGTAAAAAGTAGTCGCAATCGGTCTCCGAACGGCAGCAAAACGTGTGGTACAACGCGGAGAGGGCCATGCATGCCTAAAAGGCGAAAAACGCATAGTCGTAGTGGCGGCAACCGCGCATCTATATCACCTGGAAACAGATCAGTATAACGCTGACGAGAATCTTGTCGCTTAGCGGGGCGTCGATTTTCAATATGATCAGATCGTAGATCGTCAGCGACACGAAGAGAACCAAACCGAATATGTGGGACCATATGTTGATTGTCTCGTTCGTCCACCAGAACACGCTGCAAAACGAATGACATGGTACGTGGCGTTGTGGTCCGTGACGCGCGCGTCCAAACCAGAGACAACATAAGTTTGTCTCTGCCCAGGCCGCAGATAACAAAAATTGGTTACTACCATATAGCTACTACATATTTAACGCTGACAATAGAGGAATTCATGAAGCAATTATGTAAAAAAATTTTGAGCTCTAATGTCGAATTCTGACGTTGGATCCATAACACCTTGCGGCTTTCAACAACCAACATGGCCGTTGACAGACCGTTGACAAAACTAACCAAAATGGAGCAAAAGGTTCGTTGTCATAACCTCTAAGAAACATCTAAGTGGTAAACATGTTCAAGGAGCAAAAAAAAAAGAAACAACGCGGATTTTCTTATAATGACAAACAATATGAATGATTAAGAGAGTAGACGAAACTGAAATACAACGCAATGATTATTCAGTCAATATAAAACTTGTCAATCGAAGGACATTTAGTAGATGATGGATTATTAATCTTAAATTATTTTTGGGAATGCGTTTCAAGTAATAGATAAAATTATTAAAATTAATTAAAATTGTGGGTGCTTCGCGAGTATTTTTTTCTCTCTCAATGAAACGAAAGTAAATTTTTAATTTTTTTAATCCATAATACCGTAACCCAAAAAAGCGATGCAAAAGTCCCTAATACACATAATTTACAGAATTTTTCACCCCCTGATGCCAAATATTCCGTTCTTATTGTTTTCATGACGATTTTGAGGCGCCAACTGATGTATTGCCATACAATATTACTGTTAATAATAAAATTACAATTGCGTTTGCGTTACGTGTGTATTTAAGATTTGACTGTTCTATGTGAACCTATGGTTAGATGTAGATCCGCCGTAGTTGCAATAAATAAAAAGAATTAGTTCAAAAACTATTTTCTGTGACGTGTAACGCTCATAAATGTTCCAAACAGTTGAAGTAATCAATTAGTAATAGTGAATTTTATTACTGCGTATTTTGCAATCATTGCGAGAGTTTTCAATAAATAGACATAATGGTTTGGCAACTCCGCGCGGCTGGATGACATTTGTAAACGTAGGTGGCTTTTACGTGATGGAAATCCACTCAAAGAGGTTAAATTTGAGTAGAAAAATTTTCACAGTTATTTATCGGTTTGCGCCAGTTATTTCGGCAACGCCGTGCTTTTATCAAAAACTGGAGTTTTTAATGGTTTCCTCCAGGATTTCGCCTAACCTAATATTGTAGACTTTCTTTTCAGGTTCGTGAAGTCAGGGAAAGGGTTGAAGAAGTACGATTTTATAACCTTTCCATGCACAGGTCCGTGTTCAAGATGCCCCTGTATCCTTTCCGGATAAACGAGTTGTGTTTCATGAAGTTCGGGGCGTCTTCGTAGTGGAGCAGCTTCTTCGCTTTGGGGTAGTCGTGGGGCTCGCAGCCCCCGTCCTTCTCGACGCGTTTTTCATCGTCGTAACTGGCGACCAGGGCCAAATCTTCCAGGAGAGATTCAGTGTGGTCATAAGTGTGAACCTAACAGATGGGAGACGTTTAGAACTTTAGTCACGTCGTCCACGTTTCGAATAACGCAAGGTTAATGTCGCGTTTGGCAATTCGTCCATGGAGATCGACTCGGTTGCGAAAACGCCCGCGGGAACTTGACACGTTGCCCCACATTCAGTGTTGTTTGTATTTTAAACACCCGAAATGTGAAACACTTGCCACTAAAATTGAAACTTGCATCCAAAGTTCTGTTATGGGGTATCTGCATACATATGGTAGAGCAAGACAGGAAGGTCAGACGGAAATCCGCATCTGAACGAAAGTTATTATTTATATTATAAATTGGGTGTGATATTTACTTGCAATATGTAAGGAATTTGTATTTATATTTATGTATGTTTTATTTTTATTTAATTTTTATGAAATATAGATAAGTGTCTGTGTACTTTATTTAACGCCAAGTAATAAAAATTTATTAAGCTATTTGCAAGATATATTTTTATATATACGGAATGCTGCAGAAATCCCCCAGAGAAAAAAAGTAAATAGAAACCATGTATATTACGCGGCTAATAAAGGATGTGGCATGCGCAATACCTTGTCCACGTTGTATTTAGTGCGAATGGTACTGTCAGAAGGTAAGAAGAAGAGTTGGCTCGAGACGATTGGTGTCTTCCGGTGTCGTGCGCGACTTCCGGCACCGTCGGACAGATGGCGCGTTTGGCGCACAAGCGACTCCGTGCGTTATGCGCCCGGTAAGAAAGGTCGCGCGTTCTCTTTGTCATTTGACAGCATATTTTCAGACAGAGATGTGGGTTGTGCGAGTGAATAGTGCCCGCTTTTTTCATAAGTACCTTTGCACAATATACCAAGATACCGTTTTACTTAACAACTTGATTCGTGTTGGAAACCGCCTATTATTACGTATTGTGGCAAATTAGAAAAAGTTTCGAAGATTGTACAGGGCACCGATTGAAAAATAAATACGGCCCGATATCGTTGAACGGTCGCTTTCACTGCCGGCGTTTGTGTGTCAGGTGTCGTTTTTAACCGGACGTGAAAGTTTTCGAGCATGCAACGGGTCCCGTTTCGAATTATGAAATGCGATTTCGAGCGAGGCTCTTACCTTCGGCGTCTCGCAGGCGTCGCAACGTTCCTCGCCGTCCGAAGACTGGACGACTTCGTGTTTCGCCGGCACTAACGTCACCGTCATCCCTGTCGAACGGGTTAGATGTGCGGTTAACTGTGCGAAACACGCCGTATACTTTGTCCCTAAGTATATCGTCTCGGTGTTTGACGGCAATCGGCGAAATAAACGAATAGATATAGTCGGTCAAAAAATGCTCGGTACACATGGTATCTCATTAAGAGTAATAAAAATAAAATAAAAATCATTTGACTTGATAAAATATTGATAATTAACGCTTCTACCTGAAGTTCTGAATAGAGATTTATTAAAGTGTCTCAAATGATTTTTATTTTTATTACTCTTAATGAGATTGTCCATATTTACTTGAAATATATTTCTCATTAAATGTAAGTGAAAAAAGAAACTAAAATAAAACTGAAAAAAAACTTTTTTATTTTGCCTGTATTTTATTTATTTGGACTGATATTGCAAAATAGAACAGATTGCCTTAAGCAGAATCACAAATAATAAATATTAAAAAAAAATATTATTAATAATCGGGAATTAAATTTTTACTTTATTTTTATGGGCAAGGGCACATTCCAAACCCAATAAAAGTGCTAAATATAGGATTTTCCATTTTATATCATATAAAAAATATATTTTTTTGATGATCATCTGTGACCACCCTGTATAATATATTTCGCCATACATAGGTCAAAGCATGAAATATTAACCACTGTCATGGATCCAAAATAACATTTCCCAAAATTAGAAAAGTGGAAAAGTTCATTTTTCTCAAAAACCATTCAAAATTTCGTATGCTATGTAATAACAAAAAATACTTGAAATCAAGAGAATAATTAGAAATTTTTTAAATATTCATAGCATTAAAAAAATAAAGTTGGTTGTCCTGGCGCAATGCAACACCCTGTACAATCTTTTGAAAGATATCATTATTATTAATTCACTATCCGATGCAATCCCCAAAAATTTTACACTTTGTCCCCTATCTTTTACTCGCTTTATTTTATTTATTAAATCTTACGTGACATAGATCCGATATTTCGGAATATTCAGACATTTTATTACTATTACTATCAAATATATAGATCAAATATAAGGCGTGTCTTTTTTTTTAAGCTTTCCGTTTGATGAATCCTGCGGTTATTCAACTTGTAACTCACGAGGCTGCGTCAACAATCAATATGATATACTTTGAAACACACTATACCTACCTTTGAAATTGAACGGATCTTTCAGCAGGCGGGCCGAAACGTCAAAAACGGTCTCTTTAATGTCGTAACCCTTTACAAACGTGACGGAAAACCGATTAAACCGATGTCGAAAAGATTTGATTATTGAAAACCATTAATACGGAATCGTAAAATTTTATCAACCTCGACGAAAAAATTCAATTCGCGAATCAATACGGCAAGGTTTTTTCGATTAAATAAATAATAAATCAGAAGGCGGTAAATATTTGACTGTGGTCCGTCGTTGCCAAGTTGTAGTCGATTTAAAAATTACGAAACCAAAAATATGTATAAACTGTCCTTCATTAAAAAAAAACCATCGCCTTCAAAATAAACGAATAAAAAAAATTGTAAATAAGATATGTCGATGTTGTTGACAGATTTCCATGACAACGTGGTGATCTGTCAAAGAAACGCGTTTTGATTGGTTAAAAATTACGCCCATGCTGGCTGGCACTAATTTAACAAATAATGTACAAGCGATTCACGAAATACGTTATTGTTTACGAATATTTCGCGATCCTGCAGAAAGTAAGCCAACAGCAACATCGGACCGCGATCAAACATTTAACGCGTAAAACGTTTTGACATTATCCGTGCACGTCAAACGGCTTATAGTAGCCGAATATATTTCGTTAAAAAATATCTACGTAATGACACGTTCTGCGTAACAACGGGCGCGTATGTGTCGACATCCCACCCAATTATACGCGAGACTTGCATAATGGCAATATCTTCGAACGAAAACGTTCGTTGCACTGACCTGATGACTGTCGTCGAGATGCGAAAACGCGTCGAAGCTACGCCAACACAACACACTAGGCCGACGACGTTGACGGGCAAAAAATCGCAGCCTACTCTCTATTGGACGAAGCCACCTAGATCGGCCATCGAATACATCGATCCCACTTCCGTCACGGCGAACGCACAACTGGCTTTGCGTTCACCTGCGTCCGTAATAGGCGCAAAAATCACAATGTTTACGATTTCCCGCCGACCAGGGGACCCGGAGGCTCTTTCTCTTCCACCGATTTCCCTCGCGAGGCGCGTGACGTCACAGAACGCATATGACGCAAAATTCGGTTACAGCGCTCGCCGCGGGACCGCAAGTTACCATAGACTTTTGTCAAAATACGACCGACAACTATCGCGTTGGTTAACTAATTCGCACGTTCGTCGGTGTTCTGTGGACGCGCTGTCAAAACTTCGTCTTCCGTTGGAATGTCGGTAAGGGCGATTCCGCACGGTTGTCGGACAATGCGGCGCGCCATCTAGCGGGCGCCCGTTTAAACACCCTTGGCGTTCTTCTTTTCCTCGATTTTTACGGTGGGTGCAACGCCAGAGGCGACGGCGACTGGGGATTTTTGGTCATAGAAAGTTGGCGTTTTGACTTTTATTTATCGTGCCCGGTTATCGTTTGTTTTTGTCCGGTTTTAGACAAAAAAGATGTAAATTAATTTGAAATGGGCATACACGTCGGTAACGGTGTAGTCTTTAAATATTTCTAGAAGTCGCGGTGATGTGAGAAATGCATCCAAGTAGGGAGACCTTCCAAAACTATTTCCAAAATTGGCAAAACCGAAACAAATTGAAACAGGAATCGCGGAACAGTTTGGCATCGAAGATGAATGAAAGGCCGGAATGGAATTTTCCAGAGCTCGTTTATCTCGGTCAGGAGAAAATTGGAATATGAATTAGAGTGACGGAAGCAAAAGTTTCCCCGTTTCCAGACAAGATTCAAGGTAAAAATACCGAATTCCCGCTGTGAACTATCGAGGATAATGGTCTGGGGGCTGCTTGAAGTGCGGACAAAGAGATAATGGACAATAACCATGTTTGATTGGCCCTTTCAATCTGAACTCCGTTGAATACCTTTGAGATAAATCTGAACGCATTCCTGTGTTAGTATCGTCGAATGCGATAATGTCTACGGAGCTTTTGACTATTTCGACGAAAATAAATGGATATTTATTGGTAATAAATAAATAAATTGGAACATATTGTTATTTTTTTTACCTACTTTTATTAAAAAAAAAACAAATAATAGATCATTTACTTGTTTCTAAATTAATATAAATTAATATTTAGTTTATTTCGCCCAAAAAGTTGAAACCTCATGCGTTTCGCATAGAACTTTTTCGAGTTCTTACTTACCTTGGTTGAAGTGCGGAATTTTCAAATTTGCGGCCGATAAAAAAGTACACAAAGAAAACGAGCCTTGTTCGGTTTTTAAATAGATTTTAATAAAGTTTTTGAATAAGGGCGGGGGAAGGAACATAACCTAAAAAAGATCGTGTTTCTCACTTTGACAGTTGACATTTGACGAGACCGAAATTAAAAAATACCTATGCGAAGGGCTCGGAGAAATCTCTAAGGATTTACGGGTGAGGGGAGGGGTGGGGGTGGACAAGAAGAGGAGACAATTCTCTTCGCTCCGGTAAAAAAATGCAAATCGCGCGGATATACAGGGCGTAATAAAAATATGAAAATTCTAGACACAGGGCGTCAAACTTAAAAAAAACTTATTTGATTAAGTTAAAATTATGAAGTGTAGTGTAGTGTCTTATAAAAAGAGACGTGCGCCACTGACTTTTTTAAACATTTTTTTAATTTAAACGATTAAAAATGCAACCTTTTTGTTTCTCGAAAATTTCGGCAATTTATTAGTTTTTTTTAGTTTGGAAAAGAATACAAAGTTGGTAAGAAAGTCAGCGGCCGCGCGTCACCTGTGAAAAATGTTGGGGCGCCTCCAGGGACAGCACTGGACTTCATAATTTCAACTTAATTGTCTTAAACGAGCCGCCAAAAGTCAAGAAACACGTGTTCGCATAAAAAAATTATAATTTTTTCACGTAGCAATGCGAACGTTATTCCTGGACGCCCTGTATAAATATATACATCTTTTTCAAATTAAATTTTGATTTTTTTCGATTTCCACGGCTCGTTCGGCGCCAACCCACTTCGAAACGCCACTTTTGAAGATTTGACGTTTATAAAAAACTTCAAAAGCAAAAATTTCTTCTGAACGTAAACTGTTTTTGTAAAAGGGCAATTCGAAATATGGGAGCAAATGAAAGCGGAAATCTTAGACACTAATGAAGGCGCTACTGCCAGGATGGTTTTTAAAAACCCCCGACAACTAGATTTGGTGTTTTTTCTTTCAGGCACTAGTATCTGTAAAATTTTAACCTACATCCAAAATAAACGAAAAAATTACATTCTGATATCTTCTCTAGTTGACAGTTTAAAATGTCAAAACCATTTTTTGACATTTCGAGGTTAAAACGATTTCGAAATCTTTTTAAATACCAAATAATTTTATTATTTTTCGAAGCGAACGCCAAGCGAGCCGGATTTTACTAAAAGTAAAATAATAATAAAAAAAACGCTCGCTAGGAGGCGGAAAACGAAAAGTGACGAATGCGACTCCATTTTGGAAAATGATATTTATTTTATACACCTAGTTAAACCACAAAAACCTACAATATTAATTTACTAACAGTAATTATGTAATTTTTATGAATATACGAAGGCCGACCCGACCGCGGGCGGACGGAGGGAGGACTGAACCTCCCCACGCCCCGCACCCGCGGGGAAATTCGCGTTTTTGGCAGAGGGGTGACGGGAGGGGGCGCGGGTTCCCGGACAGCGAATAATGTACAAGAGTTTTCCAGTCGGGTCGGATCCTTTTTTTTTTGAAGCTGAAAATTGTCCCCTCCGACTCCATTGTTTTTTTTTATTATTATTACAACTGTTTTTATGTATTTGATAATATTTTTGGATATTTTGATGCTCCTGTTGTCTCGCGCGAGCGCGCATGTCTCTCTCTCGTTTGTTGTTTTGAAATTAAATAAGTTTTTTTTCCGTTTTGCTTTATCTAATTAGGTGAAGTGCGGGTTTGAGGGGGCGGGGCCGGGCCATCACATGGCATACTTGCGGGTCCACTCGCGCGCCAATTCGTTGTACTTTTCCCGGTCCGTTTTGTATATCCTAGCGATTTCCGGGACTAGGGGATCGTCCGGATTGGGATCGCATAAAAGTGAGCAGATTGATAACAGTACTGAAAAAAAAAACAAAAAAAACGAACCGTTCAAACCGCCTCACAGTGGCCATACTAATACATAGAGTCCGTCTCAATAGAGAAGAAAATTTGAAACGGCCATCAGTTTTAATTATTAGCAGTATTACATACATTTCGCTGTCATTTAAGTATGGTCTGCTCATAGATATAAGAAAGTGACCAATTGCTTTTGAATGGGATTATCCAAGGGCGGTCATTAACATACAGTGCAACAACATTATTACCTAAAGTTTCGGAATTTAAATGCAGGGAATATTGTGATCTGTGATAGAAAATAATTTTATACCTACCTACTTAGTTTAAGTTTACTAGTAATCACTCTTATTTCGTGTGTAATGAAGTTTTTAACATCCCTCCACAAAGTTGAGCAAATTCTGTTAAACATATAGAAAAAGCAGAACAATCGTATATCTATATTGCAAATAATATAAAACAATAATAAGAACAGGCGATGATAGCGATAGTGATACTGGTATATTATGTGAATAATTTTAAGTAATTTAAGTAGGTAATAAAAATAATTTGTACTTATATTTTAGATTTAAACATAAATACATAAATATTGTTTAGCATCTTTCCTAACAAAACCCCAAATATTTCATTCTTACAGCTTGCCCGGATCTTTCCTTAATTCGTATCAGTTAGTCACTTTCTTATATCTATGAACAGACTATACCTGTTCTACTCACTGATAACCAAAAGTGAGTAAACAGATGTTCTCTGTTTAGATTATTCCTTAAAATGTCGCCAAAGAAACTTAGTTCTAAATAATTTAATATTTTCCCTGTCTTCGCTAAGCCGGAAAATCCCGTCTGATTTTTGGAAAGTTTGGCAGAAATTGACGATTTCTTTTAGTTTTCGCAATGTTAAAGAAAAATGTGTAAAATGTTTTAGTTTTTCATAAAAATTTCCAGTAATCTTCGCAAAGAACAATATGTAAATAGCTGTACACTTTTACCCAACATTATCAGTTGTAACGAATTAAAACTTAACACAATGTGCTAGAATAATAAACATTATGTATATTAAAAATCTGGTGGGTGCGCCAGGCATTGAACCATAAAATACAGGATAAAAAACGCAATTACTTCTCTATCAAGACAGACTCTACATCGAGGAATTAATTCCATTTTAATAAAATAAGGGGACTTACTTAGCACAAAACCCGAAATATAGTATGTAGTACCCGAAAATATAGTATGTTTTACAAAAAGAAAATAGTAACAGCCGAGCTGACGTGCAATTTTTTGGTTTTGATCGTTAAAAAAAAAAACAATATCGCGAGATTGCACAATTATTACCAAAACTACTTCTTTTGGGTCCATTTTAAAAAGAAAACTTGATATGAACACACGTCTTAAAAGTCGCAACTTTTTAGATACAGGGTGATAGACTTTTGGAATATGAAATATATTTTTTAAATGTTTGTAATACCACCTTAAATATTTTAATGAAATTTGGCGCACATGTATCAAAAGTGTAGCACATTTTTTATTTTAAATACACTAGTGCTGAACGTGCGGAATTTTACCTGTCTATTTTAGCAGACATGGATGGCAAGCCACTGATTTCTCTTAATAAAAATTTCTTCTCTGCGTGGTCGTAACAACATCGTTATCATTATTATTTCTCACTTACTGTTTTAGGTGTATTTTTCAATACATTTTATAATTATTTCTTACCATTAAAAGTCTGGTTTCGCGAAAATATGAGGAAAAGGGATGAAGCGTGTATCCCTCAAGGTGAAGGACGCTTTCAACAACTTGTTATTCCTGAGCTTAGAGATTTCCCTTGTTTTTTAAAATGTTCAGTGTAAAAATTAATTCTCCGTTGTTGGAAATCACAACACATCCTTTCCATATGGAACTATACCGAGCATTACTGAACGGTTATAAATGAAAGCAATAGAATCGCAGTGTTAAAAATAGGTATATAACGCACTTAAACAAAAGTTGTGGGTTTTTGTAACAGAAAAAATAATATGTTTATTTTGAACACCGTGTAGCATATAATTCAAAATCCGTTTCGTATATCTTTTACGTCGTTTTTGAACAGTGCTAATATCAAATATGAGTACCTTAAAAAAAAAAACGAAAAGTTTTGGGTGTTTAAAAGTTTCGGATACGGTACTCACGTTGACATGGAGAGATGCTCTTTTGTTTAATAAATCCATTAACAAACCTCTTTAACACCAAAAATGAACAATATTATTATTATCTTTGAAGTCGTAACAAATTTTCATTGAACTTTGGTTGTATTTGTTTTACTTCGTATACTTTTCTTAACACCCTAAAGGATTAAAATAAACTCACTCTCAACACTTTTATCGAATCGGTTCTAAACCACCCTGTAAATTAATTAATTTTGATAATTTTCTTAACATGCGGAGGTCTACCATATCCTCGGATTTTTTTTTTTTTTTAACAAACCCAATAATAATAATGCCGTATATATTATTTTGGAGGATTCGGCGTGAGAGACGCGCCGTCAAAACCGAAAAAATGGCGTCCCCCAACAGGCGTCTGACCGATTCAGTCTCATCCACCTAACCTAACACTTGGCGGTGCTTACCTTTCGAAATAGTTAACGCCGGGGACCACTGGGACCTTAATATATCCAGGCAAATGCTACCGTTGCTATTTATATTTGGATGATAGATTCTTGTCGTAAACGCCACCTTCGGCGGTTTAAACGGATAGTCTGTGGGAAAGTGTATGGTTAAGAAGAACACGCCGCCCTGGTACGGACTGTCGGGCTAAAACAAACAACGTAAAAACCGCGTTTCCGCGGGCGCCGCGACACTTACCGGCCCCATTATGGTCGCCTGCCAGTGGAACACTAAAAAAAGCGATACAAAATTTTTAAGGATCAATTGAACCTAAAGCGGACGTTGACTTACGGTCGTCGCCGACGGGCCCCGCCGAACACTGCGCGGGTGGATCCCTCCCGAGGTCCTGTAGTTCCTAAAACGAAAAAATATTACCTTGCGGGATAATAATAGATATCTGAAAGACAAGGTCCTAATATGGTGAGGTTAGAAGGCTGACGCGTGTGGTTGCGATTTCGTAACGCGATCGCCGAAAACGGCGACCATTCGCCCCTTCGGGGCTTCTATCGGGCCCCGTTGGGGCTTTAAGGCGCGAGAGACGACGCAAATTTTGCACTCGCGGTCCCCCCCCTCCACCACTGCAACCTTTCGACCCGCTTAAATAACGAAAAAATCGCAATCGTCAAGCGGAAAAAGTGCCGGACAAAAAAAACGCACGACGGAATCGTTAAGGGCGTTCGGGTCCAACGAAAACACTTATTACGCTGGCACGTTGTGCACGGGGGCCGCCCGAGTCCACGCAGCTTACTCAAACGTACCTTATTGATTCTTTTTAACGCCATTTTATTATCTGTGTGTGATAAATGCTGGCGTTTCACCAGACAACGGAACGGCAAACGAAAGACCTCCGAACGGAGATTGCAAAGATGGCCTCCTTCAAAACTAACTGACACGACGTAACTCAACTGAAAACTTAACAACAAATTCGAACGGGTCGTATGCTTAGATTACGCACAGCCTTGGGAATTTCGACGTGAAAAATTAAAAAACGAACGCGATCCCGCGGATTATTCGACGCCCTGTGCTTAAAGTTATTTCCTAAACTTCTAGAAATCGGGATGACTGATCACTTCCGCGAGAGGCTCTTTTCCACATTTTTGTTTACCGAGAAAGAAGAAATTGACAATTTTCACGGGCGGCCGTCCTCGACCCCTGGCGGATAGCTCGGGAAACGCCGCGTTTTGCTGTTTTACCGACAGAGGGCCGCGAGGCCTAATTTTTCTTCGTTTGCGTGCCGTCGTCGGTTAGGCCAATGAGCCACGCATTAAAACCTAACCAAAACTGAATTCAAAATTCGCAATTCCATTTGAAAAATCGCACGAGATGAGCGCCGGCGACGACTTCGACATTAAAAATTACAGGGCGATCCGGCTCGATAGCGCGGACGATCCGCTGCAATCGGCGGACATCGAAAGAAAGTGTTTGGTTCTAGCTTACAACGCCGCATTAAAAAGGTTCCTTTTATTAGTAATCAGATATTGAATACCGGTAAATGCGATTTGCAGCATGGACAACAAGGGCGTGTGCGAACTGCTGGAGTGGAAACTCGCCAAATACTCGGCCGCGGTCATTAAAGAAAACGCGACCATCTACGACGAGTTGTTATATGAAAAGTATCCCCAAGTGAATGCGGGGACCAACTTTAAAACCGATTTTAGCAAAGCTCCGGCGAGTGTAGACTTGGAAGCGATGGTCGCGGAGCTCGGTTGCCAACAGGGCGACAAGTTTTACTGCCGACAATCGGAAACCATGAGCCAGGCCGAACTGAACGATTTCTTCTACGCGTTTAACCCGAAGAGAACCGGTAAAACAGACGTCGAATCGTCGGGGAAAAGTAAACCGAGTGCCAAAAGGAACTTCGAGGCCAGCGGTAGCTTTAGGACCGCGAGGGAGGAGCTGGAAGGTCAAACTTCCTCTAAATTTGGTACCTCGACGTGCGTAGAAAACGGGGGCCAGAAGAGAAAGCTGGGCCTGCGGAGGAACGTGAAAAGTAAATTCGTCTCGCCCCTTCTATCGAGAACAGACAGGTTAGTTTCTTTCGGTTGGATAAGTTAAACTTTAATAGGGGGCCTACAGAAACCCTAGACTGAGGTTAAAAAGGACCCCATTCTAATTTTTATTTACAAACTTTTCTTGTTGTTTTATAATTATTATCTTAATAATAAAGTTAACTTGCGGGACTGGGGATTCATTATATAATTTTTTAAATTGGAAATGCTGTATATGATTTTATAAAAAAAGGATCCTTTCCGCTTATTTTCAAAATATATAACATGTTATGGTGATTTTTTATGTTAAGGCCAAACACCAAAAGTAATCACCTACCTATGTGCGCGTATTCATTGTTGACAATTAACCAGGGAATCTCATTTGGACAGTACACTCATAGCACAAATAACATTGGATTACAATACACAGAACAGGCAATTTCACACCATATACACATTATTTACACAAAAAAGAATACTCTCAATACTTTTTAAACACCCTGTGTATAAAAATTTTGAACAAAAATAATATCGAACAACAGTGGCGTTAGCCTGCGCCATGATGATGCTTGGCCAACTAAGTGACAATATTATTTTTAGCTAAATCTGGCCTTAATGTCAACAATAACCAAGACGCGTTATATATTTTCAAAATCAGCATAAACGGGCCTATGTTTTTGCGGAATAATTACATAGCTTCCAATTTAAAAAAAAATTGTCACACCTTGTATATAAATACGTCTTTGGTATTAATTTAAATTGTAACGTGAAAAGTTATAGGAGGTAGTGGATCTTTGATACTATTGCAAAGCTGGCGTCGTCACTAAGCACGTTGTGCTTTTATTTCATACCCACCTTTTTGTTCCGTGTAAATTTGGCTTTCTCGTCAATTTTAGGACGATACTATTATTGTTTGGTAAAGCATTTAGTGTACACGGTATCCCATTTTGGACATTTTTAGGCGGTATCCTCGGTTATTTTTAAACAAAACTATCATGATTCCCCCTGTTTTTTGAGCTGCAGTATATCTGTTGTTTAAATGAAACACCCTACATGTTACATAAACTGGAAATCATTTAAGCTTTTCAAAAACATATATTAGTATAAAATTGTTTTGAAAATTTTCCTCAAAATTATTTTTTTTTCATTTTTTACTTTATTTGCAGCAGTAGTCCATCAACTGATTCAACTAAAAATAAGATACATCTAACAGTTATTGCAGATTCGGATTTAATAAATGTTAACTTAAGGGGTGCCGTAAGGGTTTCAACCCTGAATAAAACTCTTCTCAAAAACCAAAGCATTGTTCTATTGGTACCACCTATTACAACGTTGCCTATCGGCTCTTCGGTCTATGTCGTACTACCGTTCGTTCTTCGTTGCTGACTCAGCATACGTGACTTTTGGCGGCCATATAAAAGATATCGCTAACATAAATATAGAAATGTCGTTAATGTGTTGCCCCAGAATTCTACGATTTCTTACTAATATAGTAAACTCATGCCTCCTTGAAGGCGTGTTTCCAGATGAATGGAAAGTTAACATAAAAGTGAGTGGTAGAGTTTCGCAGTTTACAAATTGTGCAAAAAATCTTTTGTATGGCCCGTGCCTAGATAAAACTGACACATATAGAATTGAGAGAGTACAAAAAAACTGTTTGCGGTTAATTTATGGTATAAGAAAATATGATCCAGTCTCACACAAATTACAAGATGCTAAGTGGTTGAATATGCAAAATAGGCGTAGTATTTTTTCACAACATTATTTTTAATAACAGTCCTCCTTACTTGACAAATAAAATAACATATCGGACAGATGTTCACAAATTTAGGGGTCTTATCTCTCCGCCACCACACAGGACGTCTCTTTTTCAAAGCTTCTCCCATAACGTTTACAAACTTTACAATGCCGTTCCTCTCTCCTTAGAAGCCTTATCACCATTAAACTTTTCAAAAATGAAAGTTGAAAATTATTACAAATAGTAATTCACAACCTATAAAACACATTTAAATAATTGAATTTTAAGGTGTTGAGTTTTAATTATTTTTTGAGCTTTATTTTCAAACCAACTTCATAATATATTTCTGCTTGCTTCGTGCAAGTTCGCTGCTGGATTCATATAAAGGACTACGGAGATACGAGGGTGGTCCCAAAATCGATATTTTTGGATTTCACCCTGTAAAAGTGCCCAAAATGGGATACACTCGGTGGTAATTTTTTACGAGGCCTTTCAAACAAATCACGATGGGCGGTGCGAAAGCGTCCTTTGTTTTCGAACATTTTTCCGATTTAGGCGAGGAAAAAATGCAAACGAAATTCCTGCGAAACGACTTTCACAAAAAAATCAGATCGTAGGGTTTGAAAAGGCCGTCCGTTAAAAGGTTAACGGCGAAACTTTCAGCCACGACGACGTAAAAACGGACGATTCGCGCGACGAGCGTCTCAAAAATATCGATCCCAAAATGGCGGAGCTTATCCGGGCGGAAATAATGGACGCGGGGCCTGCCGTCGGCTGGGACGACATCGCGGGCTTGGAGTTCGCCAAGACGGCGATCAAAGAGGCGGTCGTGTGGCCTATTTTGAGGCCCGACATATTTACGGGGCTCAGGCGACCCCCCAAAGGGATATTGCTGTTCGGCCCCCCCGGCACCGGCAAGACGTTGATAGGTGAGTGACGTTTCCCTTCTAAATAGTAAACTTATCTTAAAATCCACCGGAACCTTTAAATATCAGCGACATTTGAAGCCTTTGCCTTAAAAAACATAGAATGGGGTAAACGTTTCACTTACATAACAGCATAAACTCTCCCTTTTTTCTCGACACAATATCGAAATGACACTAACCCTCCCAAATGGTTTTTTATTTTCACAAAGTTAACAACACTGGACCACTGTCAAACAATTTGGTTAGGTTCTGTGTCCACGGACCGCAATCACAGAACACCAACGTTAGTGATTTTTTTAAATCAAATTTTTAAGTAATGTAAAGTAAACTATGGTTGTTGGAGTGCAGAGGAACAATAAAGACCTCTGCGGTGTTTCCTGGCATGTTATTACTTTCTCACATTCTTCTGTTTCAGTCACATGTCACAGTCACACAATTTAAGATTCCGGGATTATTATAGTTTTTTTAAATGTTTCTTTAAGTGTGGGGGGGGGGGATTTCAGGTAAATGCGTAGCGTCCCAGAGTAAGTCGACGTTTTTCAGTATCAGCGCATCGTCGCTGACATCCAAGTGGATAGGCGACGGCGAAAAAATGGTCAGGACTTTGTTCGCTGTCGCCAGGGTGCATCAGCCTGCCGTAAGAGTCACTCCGTTGCACATTGGTGCGGGGGTTACTTGAACGTGGAAAAAAAAACCTCGAAACTTATTAATTTGCAAACCAAACTGATCACGAGGAACGTAAACTTATCGTACGGAGTCCAGTTTCAAATTAGGCACAAAAAAAATCTATTAAATAGAGAAACAAGGATAGATACTACAATAATTTTGACTTTTCTGCGATTTTTTTTGCTGTTAATTCAAGGAATAAGCGAATCACACAGCATTCTTCTGATTGTTTGAATTTGAAAATTGATTTCTTAGACAAATACTATTATTTATAATACTCAAAGAAATGATAGAAACGCTGCGTAAATTGTGTACACAATAATATGATTCGCGGTCAAGCGCCTAAAACCGTTATCCTGCCTAAATGAAGAGCTTTTAAGGATCCTTTCCATTTCCATTCCTTTCCAGATGTTTATTTACCCTGCCAGAATGCTATTTTTCAAATAGAATTTAAAAAACTTGATTAGCCAGAGCTCGTTAACTGCAAGGCGTTTTTTTTCTTAAACCTAGATATAACAGCGTCGCACTGAGAGAGATACGTTACTGTGGTCCTTGCAGTTGTTACCAGTTAACAATACGCTTGATAAAAACTTGTTTAGATCCTGCACTATTGAGATGGTAAGGATATTAGCTGCAACCGTATTAGGTGCTAGAGGAAAAGGTTTTCTGGAAAAGGGACCCCCAAAGTCATTCTCTGCAACAGTTTTACATAACCTAGATACAACCAACTGCGAATTGATAGAAATGTTTTAAAAAGACTCGTGTGGTATTTGCAGATATTACCAGTTATAATAGGATTGATGAAAATTGCTTTAGATCTACCTAACCAACCATATTAGCCACTAGAGGAAAAGGTTTTCTGGAAAAGGGACCCCAAAGTCAATAAAAGGGCATTCTCCACAACAGTTTTACATAACCTAGGTATAACAGCCTCGCCTTAACAGCAATGTTTTAAAAAGACTCAGTGGTTCTTGCTGTTATTACCAGTTATAGGATTGTTGGAAATTGGTTTGGATCCAACACTATTGAGACGGCAACGATATTAGCCGCAACCATATTAGCTACTAGTGGAAAGGGTTTTCTGGATAACAGTTTCACGTAACTTAGACATAACCAACCCCAAATTGATAGAAATGTTTTAAAAGGACTCTGTGGTTCTTGCAGATATTACCAGTTATAATAGGATTGATGAAAATTGGTTTAGATCCAACACTATTGAGGCGGCAACGATATTAGGGGCCACCATATTAGCTACTAGAGGAAAAGGTTTTCTGGAAAAGGCACCTCCAAAGTCAATAACAGTTTTACATAATTTAGATATAACCAGCCTCGCCTTAATAGGAATGTTTTAAAAAGACTCTGTGGTTCTTGCAATTATTACCAGTTATAATAGGGTTGATAGACATAACCAATCTCAAATTGATAGAAATGTTTTAAAAAGACTCTGTGGTTCTTGCAGATATTACCAGTTATAATAGGATTGATGAAAATTGGTTTAGATCCAACACTATTGAGGCGGCAACGATATTAGGGGCCACCATATTAGCTACTAGAGGAAAAGGTTTTCTGGAAAAGGCACCTCCAAAGTCAATAACAGTTTTACATAATTTAGATATAACCAGCCTCGCCTTAATAGGAATGTTTTAAAAAGACTTTGTGGTTCTTGCAATTATTACCAGTTATAATAGGGTTGATAGACATAACCAATCTCAAATTGATAGAAATGTTTTAAAAAGACTCTGTGGTTCTTGCAGATATTACCAGTTATAATAGGATTGATGAAAATTGGTTTAGATCCAACACTATTGAGGCGGCAACGATATTAGGGGCCACCATATTAGCTACTAGAGGAAAAGGTTTTCTGGAAAAGGCACCTCCAAAGTCAATAACAGTTTTACATAATTTAGATATAACCAGCCTCGCCTTAATAGGAATGTTTTAAAAAGACTTTGTGGTTCTTGCAATTATTACCAGTTATAATAGGGTTGATAGACATAACCAATCTCAAATTGATAGAAATGTTTTAAAAAGACTCTGTGGTTCTTGCAGATATTACCAGTTATAATAGGATTGATGAAAATTGGTTTAGATCCAACACTATTGAGGCGGCAACGATATTAGGGGCCACCATATTAGCTACTAGAGGAAAAGGTTTTCTGGAAAAGGCACCTCCAAAGTCAATAACAGTTTTACATAATTTAGATATAACCAGCCTCGCCTTAATAGGAATGTTTTAAAAAGACTCTGTGGTTCTTGCAATTATTATCAGTTATAATAGGGTTGATGAAAATTGGTTTAGATCAAACACTATTGTGACGGCAAGGATAGTCGCAACTATATTAGCTACTAGAGGAAAAGGTTTTCTGGAAAAGGGACCCCAAAGTCAATAAAAGGGCATTCTCCACAACAATCTTACATAACCTAGGTATAACAGCCTCGCCTTGACAGAAATGTTTTAAAGACTCAGCAGTCATCATTTGTCACCCTATGAAAATGATTCGAATTCGAACTAGTTAATAGTTGTTCCAAATCTTCTGTTGGCTTCTTCAGAGCTTCGCGGAGGAAAGGCGAAGACATGAATCGCGGTTAATACTGTTATGGGGTCTCGGATTTTGGTAGCAGAGTTGACAGAATGTCAGTGTTATCGAAGTGTGCGGTCATATTTCTTCCGCACTCTTGAGTTCTTAGACCACACTGGCAAGGAAGGTTGAGGTGAACTATATATATGTGTGTATTTTTTTTAACACTGACTTCCGGTTAAATAACTAAATTTAAGGAATTTGAATTTACATGACCCGAGCGCCATCTACCTTAAGATTTATGAAACCTCTAGCGAATCGTGTCGAAAGTCCGAGTACTGTACAAACATGGAGTTGATGAAATAGTACAAAGAGTTTACAAATTTATTTTATGTGTGGAGGAGTACAGATGTCAACAAGAGAGATGATCCCATGTTAGGTCTATCTTAGAATGAGATGGACTATTAACAAATCTTCTGGTTTCCTCTCGCGTCGGTTGCTGATAAAATGAACTTGTCGACGTTTGGTCTTAGGCCTGGCTAGGCTAAAAGAACGTGAACATGCCTTAGTTATGACCAAAAGACTGTAAGAATAGCCCATTAGAATTTTTTCACACGTTTGGGTATCCCCCGCCCCACCGCGAGTCGCAAAAGAAAAACTAGGTCTCGTAGGTCATATTCATCGACGAAGTCGATTCTTTGCTGACGCAGCGGAGCGACACCGAACACGAAAGCTCGCGGCGCATCAAGACCGAATTCCTAGTCCAGTTGGACGGGGCTACTACTAGTAGCGAGGAACGTCTGCTTCTAATAGGGGCGACGAACAGGCCTCAGGAGTTGGACGAAGCCGCCAGAAGGCGTTTCGTCAAAAGGTTATATGTTCCCCTGCCCGAGCACGAAGCTCGGTCGCATTTGGTCCGCAAACTAATCGGTGACGAACGCCACTGCCTGACGGACGACGATTTCGAGCGCATCGCCCACCAGTCCGACGGGTTCTCGGGGGCGGACATTAAGAATCTGTGCTCCGAGGCTTCGCTGGGGCCCATAAGGTCCATCGAGTTTGGCATGCTGGAAAAAATAACGCCCTCCGAAGTGAGTACCGTTGCACATTTATTTTGATTCGAACTCGGCAACTTGCACGTCAGTGGCTTCGCGGAAAATTTCTGTGACCTAATTTTATTGCTTATTCCTGGGCTCGTATAATGGATTAAGTGTTTTCTGTCTGGTCGTACTCAGTTGGTTCGTATTAATAATTATGTCTCAGTTAAAATTGATATTTTTTCGGGAGTCCCCCAAGGTTCTCACACTGGACCCATTCTTTTTCACTTGCTTATAAATGATATTGTCAGTGTAGTCTCCGAATGGTAGCGTCTTTTGTTCGCGGATGATTTGAAGATAGATATATAGCAATAACTAATCAATATAGCATTGATGGAGTAAAGATCGAGGCTGTCACTAGTATGGGTGTTTGCTTCGATTGTAAACTAAATTTTGTGACACATTTTGCGGAAGTAGAACAGGTCAATACGAGTCCTTGCGTTCGTTGTACGCAATAGTGGCCAACTTACTCCACATTGCCTTAAACTCCTTTATATCTCTTTGGTTCGCTCTAAACTGAAGTATGCATCTGTGGTATGGTCTCCATATTATGCCTGCCATATAGATAATATCGAAGCCGTTCAGAAAGTATTTTTAAGATTTTTGGCTTCAAAGGCGCATATTAATATCTATAATGGGTATCAGATCAATTACAGTATTATAGCTAAGGGTTTCAATATTGATACTCTTCAAACCGGAAGATCTCAGAGTGATTTAGTTTTTCTCTTTAAGATTCTGAATGGTTGGTATTATTGTCAGCTCTGTTACATACAATTTAACGCATATTACAGAAGCTGGAGTTTATTCACCCCTTACTAGAATGCTGAAAGGGTTCGTTTCATTCTGATGTGTTCCGTTTGAGTGCTGCCACGTAATTCTATTTATTGTTATCGTTACATTTTGTTCTGCTTTCTAGTTGTTATACTTGATGTCTTTCTCTCTGTGCCTTTAATAATTGGTTAAACCGTAAATAAATAAATAAAAAAGCTTGATATTTTGCTAGATTACATAGTGCTGATAATAGGTCGAGGGGGCGATCTTAATTTTAACCAAGATAAAATTAAAAACAATCGTTTAGATTTCAGAGCTTTAGTGAACAGTCTAGTTTCATTCTACTCAGTATCTTCTCGGATACTGTTTGAGGGGCACGTGAACATTTTTTTCACCGTACATAGGCAGGTTCAGAGTAGAATGCAAATCAGTTTCAATTACAAAATTGAACAACAAATTAACAATTAACCAAATATGCCCAAATTTTCGCGGTGTCATTTATTACATAATTTGTTCTAATTTAATTGGCAAAAGCCACCCAAGCGAAATTAGTTTTAGTGAAGCTCCGGATGATTGGCAAAACTTCAGCAAGTAGAAGCACCTCCCACTTTTTTCGATTGCATGCTATACAAAGATAACTTAAGATGTATTTGCTAAAAAACACTTTGTTCTGTGATCTTGTTGGCCCAATGTGCGGCGTTAAGCAGTGGCGTCCGCGTTTCAGGTAAGACCCGTTACCATGGGAGACTTTGAGGAGTCGTTCAAGCGGGTCAGACCAAGCGTTTCCTCACAGGATTTGACTCACTACGAAGCGTGGGATCGCGCCTTCGGATCAGGCAACCGTTAGAAATTGTATCAAATTCTGTCAAATAAAGCGTTCCTTTGGTTTATGCGTCGGACTTTTCACTTCAAAATCAACTTGCGTTAAATGATTTAAACTAAAAAAATATACCTTCTTTGGTTAATGTTAACATTTCGTTTCAAATTTAATGAATTTCTGAATTTGAGATTTACGAAACCTCTAGCAAATCATGCGGAAAGTACATCTCAGTACTTGTTTTTACAATCATGGAGTTGATGAAACAGTGTGCAAAGAGTTTACATGATTTTAGAAGTCAAATTTGAAGTTGAAGTTGCGACCGAATCTTTTCAGACTTTTGTTTCTACAGTAAAATAATATGCATAAAAAAGTCTAAGTTTAAAATCTTAGAAATGTTAAGTAAAAACGTAACAGTTTGAACGGAACCACCCATAGGAGCATGTTCGAGGGTCTAAAATTATTCACAAAGTGTTACGTGTTATTTTAAATTTCTATTGTTCCCGTATCTTGTAAATGCGCGTGGGTCGGTCGGTGACGTCATCGCCTAGCGGGCCCCGAAGTGTGGGGGGGGAAGCGTATCGTGTTTAGGCGAAAAAATCTTTCGAGATTTTATTACTTACACGAAATTAACGATATTTACACGACTGACACTTCCCGATTTAAGTCCACTCGTCGTTACCCCAACCGTCCTCGTTTCCGTCGTCCGCAGTCACCCTCAGCTTGCTGACGTAACCGCCTTCGGTCACGTGGTCGACGACGAACTTACCCTTCGTCTCGATGACGGGCTCCATGTCCTGAAAAAAATCGACCTCCTCGCCGCCCAAACCCGACCCCTCTTGATTTTTTATGTCCAGCTTGGTGATGTCCGGCAATTTTTTTGGCGGCTGCGCGTGGCACCGCGTCCCCCCCTCCTCGTCCTCCGCGTTGGTCCACTCCTCCCAGTTGCCCAAATCTTCGTCGTCGAACGTCTCCTCCGTTGAGGATTCGCCCTCTTCGCCGTCGGGTCTCGATCTCTCCTGCAGCGCCATCTGCGTCGACACGATCGAGTTACTCAGACTCGGTTGGTTTTCTTCGATCTGCACCTCGACCTGTTGGGTGTCGACCGGCTTGGAACCCTTACGGGTGACGGGTCGGCCGTCGTTGAAGAGTCGCGCCCTTTGGCCTCCGATCACCACGTCAGCGCCCAACACGGGCACCAGGTCGGCGAGGGCGCGCAGCGTCGCCGCCACCAACTCGCCGTTGGTGTCTTTAATACCCACCAGCAGCTGGAAAACCCCTCAAATGTCGCGACGCGATATATTATGAAACCACAGGAAGGTCACCAAAAATAAAATATAGGTTGGTAAGTTACTTCAGAACTGTTGAAAAATAAGTCAGAAGTTCTGAGTTAAGTCGGACATATTCATCAGCGTTTCTGAGTTAAGTCAGAATTTATGAAAAATAATAAGAATTTCTGAGTTGAGTCAGAATTTCTGCAAAAATAAGTAACAATTTCCGAAATATAAGTCAACATTTCAGAGAAATAACTTCGAATTTCTTCAAAACACGTCAGAATATTTGAATTACGTAAAAAATTTTGATAAATAAATCAAAATTCCTGCAAAATGGGTCAGAAGTTCTGAATTAAGTCGTACGTTATAGAACATAACTCAGAATTTCCGAAAAATAAGTCAGAATTTGAGATGCGCTAAAAATAAGTAAGATTTTATGAAATTAAGCCAACATTTCTGAGAAATACGTCAGAATTTCGTTGAAATAAGTCAGAATTTGTAAGTTACTACAGAAATGTTAAAAAAATAAGTCACAACTTTTTGGAAAATAAGTCAGATTTTTTGAGTTAAGTCGAACATATGTCATAATTTCTAACAATATGTCAGAATTTTTAAATAAAGTCAAACATATAAAATATAAGACAACATTTCTGAGAAATAAGTTACAATCTCTTAAAAATATGTCAGAATTACTGAATTACATCAGATAATTTGAAATATAAGTGAAAGTTTCTGCAAAATAAGTTAGAAGTTCTGAGTTAAACCAAACATCATGGAATATATGTCAGAATTTCTGAAAACAAGTAAGAATTTCCGGGATATGTCAAAACTTATGTAAAATAAATCAGAGTTAAATCAGAATTTCTAAAAAGAAGAATATCCAAAAAATAATTCTACATATAAGGTAAAATTTCTGAAAAATGAGTCATTTTTTGAGTAAAGTCTGGAATATGTCGGGAAAAAAAGATAAAACATATTCCTCGCTTTAAGAGAAAATATGTGGTTTACACATGATAGCAGTTTTCCTACAACATTCAAGGATATTTAGGTGCCCGTATGATGGTAGATGGTCGACAAATCGAATATTTCATTTGATTTTTTTTTATTGGTGTCTTATTGGAAGTATGAAGTTTTATTGTATTTAAGCATTTATAGATATTCAGATATTTTTTAAAAATTCGTACTTATTTTTTCGAAAATTTTGACTTATTTTCCAGATATTCTAACGTAACTCAAAAATTATAGCTCCTTTTTTCTCAGAAAATCTCACTTAACCCATAAATTGTGACCTGTTCTTCAGAAATCCAGACATATTTTCCAGATATTCTGACACATTTTGAAGAAATTCTGATTTAACTGAGAAATTACAAATTTTGATTATCCAAAATTTCTGATTTAGCACAGAAATTCCGGCTTACTTTTCAAGATTTCAGGTTTGTTTTTTAGAAATTCTGATCTGAATTAATAATTCCGACTCACTCCTCAAAAGTTTGCAGGAACCCGTATTTTATTTTCGTCGGCCTTCCTTCGCTTTCGTACAATATCGAGCTAGGGCCCGAATACCTCCGGCAGAACGCGAGTTTCCAGCTCCGCTTCGGAGAAGGCGTCCACAAACCCCGAAAAATAAGTCAGCAACACGGACCGGATCTGCAGGTCCCTCACGGTCATGATCCGGAGTATTTTCTGCGCTATATATTCTACGAAAACCGCTTTCGAAAATAACCCGTCGGCTATGCGCAGGACTCTCGGCAGGAGGTGTTTTTCCGCGGTCTTGTCCAGAAACACCATCCTCGAGAGCAACAGGCCGCCCAGGTGTCTCGCGACTACTTCCTCGTCGAATCTTTTCAGTTCCTCGGCCAACGCGACGAAGAATTCGTTCTTCTCCGTTTCGCTTTTCAATGGCAACTCGACGAGGAAAGAGTGAATCGCGAGGAATTTGTTTTTAAAAAACTCGTGGCCTATGATCGCGTGCAGGCCGGGTCTGTCGGCCAAGTCGGCCGTATGAAGCACGGCCTTGCACAGGTCCTTGAAACTGTCCAATGCAGCTGTGGTACCTAAAATAAGCCACGGTCGCGAGTTTTTCCGCAACTTTTTACAACTCTCGACGATAAATAACGTTAACCGACAAAGTTCGACCTCAGATCAAATAAGTAACAGTGGTCGACCGCCCACGACACCAAAGATAAAATAAGGAAGGGTAAATTAGAACGGAATCAGCCCAAAACCAAGAATCGTAAACCTAATAGGATTGCCCAATCCCATAAGATATAAGTTCGCCAAAATTATCGATCGCACGTGGTCGCTTGTGACGTAAGCGAAGTCCTCTAACGGTTTTTGTGTATTCTATCAATGCATTTGACGGCGTATTAAACCGTGGTATTTTGTATTCTTTGAACAATTAAAATAATTTAAACTAGTGAGTAGTGCGCTTATGTTTGTGTTAATTGTATTTCTCTAAAAAAAAAACTTGGACTTAAGTGGCGAGAACTGAGAAATACAGTATTTTTACCCTTAAACAAGGACTTAAAAGTTTTCTGTTCGTGCTGCTTATTGGCGGTGTTATTAGGAGATAAGCTCAAAATATTACACATCATAATGTAGGCAAAAAATGCCAAAAAAGAAGCAGGTATTGTCTGAGCTTTTAGTAACAACATCGAATGCCACAAGTGAAATTCTAGAGAAAAATCCATCTCCAGAACTCCGGCCAGGTGGTAAAAAACTGAGCAAAAAAAATATTTAAAACAAAGAAAGAATTACCATTTAGTTTAGTTAGAGATTTTTGTAAGCTGAGGACGATAATTCGTATGAACTTCAGAAATTTAAAAGCAAAATATAATATAAATAATAAAAATCTGCTGGAACAAATGAAAAAAATCTGCTTGCTTTTATGTCGCCGTATTCTTCTTAAAAAAAAGTGTTCTAAAAATCCGAAGATCATGGTTGGAGTGGGTTACCAGGGACCACAACGAATAATTAATTAAATTAATTTTTAATATTCAAGGATTCTAGACTCTGCTTGTGATAAAAATGGTGAGGAAAATGTAGATATTCAATATATTAAAGCAGGGTACAATCAAGCGGTTCAACACGATAACAATCCAATTTCGAGAAAAAAGTAGTATATAACATTATATGATGAAATAAATTAGATGAATACAAACGTCACTAAAATTAGGCTATGAACCCTTAATAACCAATAAACTGGGTAAAATTTCTGAAGAGTGCAAGAGTGCCATTGTTAGCAAGTTGGTATCTTCCTTCTCCTTACCATGTAATAATAATGATTTAAATGTGCATATTCCCTCTCCTCTGTTCTCTACCAATAGAATAACGTAAATTAATCAAAACTAACCAAATACTTGGTTAATTCTACACAATTAAAACGCAAAAAGCCAAAAGCAACATTCAACCAGGCTCAAACAATTACCGACTACTAAAAAAACTATGACATTTAACAGCGACTTTGATCACAGAACGGCGGAATTTTCAAGTGACATTTGACAGCGCCCACGATCACAGAAAGACGAACATTTTCAATTTTCTAACTTACCCTCGACTTTTGAACTCAGCAGCTCCGTCGCCAAAGTGGCGAAGGCGTAGGCGTCGATGAAATCCTCGCGTCCCTTGCACCCGCCGACGTACTTAACCTCGTTAGCGTCGCGAGCTTTGCCGTACCGGCTCGACTGAGTTTTAACCAAGTAGTCCGAGGTCAGTTCTTTGTAGCGACACGCGTATTCCATACCGCCCAGTTTCCAAGTGCGATCTTTGGCGACGTAAACGGAAGCCACGCAAACGTTATTGTGGGAAACGTTCGCTTGCCGGTGCAAAAAGCACAACGCTTTCAAAACGGAATGCAACCCGACGCATATTTCCAACTGGGTGAGGGACGGTAGCGACTGCGCGAGCGGCGCCGCCTCCTCCGTCGCCAGGTAAAATTTCGACATCCTTTGCCAGGACGAGACGTATTTCAATATGCAGGGGTGTCGGTAGATCATCAGGTTCTATAATCGAATCACGCGGCGGTTTTTCATAGACCGACTCGGCAAGCTTACCTTGCCATTCCTTTTCAGGGGCGAGTCGTCGGTCCAACACGCTTCTGGGACTATCGAATCGCCTATAAATATCGACAAGTTCGCCGCGTCGACGGGCAAAACCCCGACATGATGCGACCAAAAGTTGGTCGTTTGGATCGGTTTGCCCGTAACCTCGACGCCGCGTTGATCCGACTGGTCGTTGCCCATGTTTGCGGACAATTACATCACAATCGTCTTCAAACTACAAGTCGATTTCATTTCGACAATTATTCGAGGTTAGGATCGCAGACATTTGGTTTTCCAATCTACTCAGATTTAGGACCCAAATCCTGTGGCAAAGTGATAGAGGCCACTCGCCCACGGGCCTCAATGAAATTACTAATTGATTTCCGCTATGTTATTTAATTATAGTGCTCATGTGTTACAATCTAATATTTGGGATTAAGTACTAAAATGATGACGCGTTTATTGACGCGTAGAATAGCCGTAGTCTTTTCCTTGGACGTGAAGCTTGACGAAAGCGTTCTGCTGAGGCCCCAAGGTCGTGCCGTCCGAGCTGTCCGCGTTCGTCGTCGTTTCGGCGCGCTGTTCTTCGTCCACAGCTTTCCTGTTACAATAAAACTAAATAAGAACCAACAATGCGATTCGTAACGGCTACTTGTATTCCTCCGCTTGCCCTCTGCTCTCGACTGGCTGCCTGATGGTGTTGGGGGTGAACAGGTTTGTAAAGGGCGGCGGGGGCGGCAAAAAACCGCTGCGATAATTGCCGGAAAACAGCGCGGAGCTAAAAGGAAACGACTGGATTATCGTCAAGGGGGGCGGAGGGTTCAGGTTGAATCCCGCCGTAGTTTGAATTGGCCGCCCGCCCACTCTGGTCTCGCCCTGAAACTGGATCGATGTTTGCTTAATTAACCGCACGTACCGGTTCGTTAATTTATGTAGATATTCAATCCAGGCGAGCAATTTCGCAATATACCTGAGCTCCGAAGCCCGGAAAAACGATTTCTTGCCGGTACTGGGCATCGCCGGCGGAGAAACACGCGACCACTACTAGGATTAGGCATTTCGTGTTCGTACCCTAAAAGAAATCGGTTCGTCATTGAAAAAAAATATCGCGCGTTTGTCATCGAAGCGGCGCACAAATTAATAGCCATTTTTATAGAAAATAACGAGGTAAATTCGCCGTTATCCGCACGAACGATAGCTAAGCTTCGAAATTGCCTTGTCACGGACCACAGCGCGGAAGAAACCCCGTGTACGGACGGCTTTAGCGATAATCCCGGAGTATGCACGTTCAAGGTTGCGCGAAAAGATGACGGACGACAAACATGAGAGCACTAACCATAACGTAAAAACTCGAGCGTCCTGTGCTACGCACCAGAAATAACGTTTGACTGACGCGAGCCAGTCAAAACAACAACAGATTACCCCCCGATCGCGATCCTTTCAGCAATGATTTTCAAGTTCAACGCAAACGAGAGTGTTTACGGCGGGCTTTCCCGTTCGAAACGTTGACGGCACATCAGCGGCTTTTGTCCAGTGCCATCTAACTGCTTTTTACTTCTATTCTTAGGTTAAAATCGATCACGGTCATTTCAGTATCGGTTTCAATCGCTGCATTTGTATTGAGAGTTTCTTTTCGCGGGTCGCGAAAAAGTGTGACCCTGCGTGAGTTGCTTAATATTGTGGGCAGAGAACACGTCACGCACACGCGTCCTATTAGGCGGACACGCCCCGGTATATTGATAGGCGATAAAAAAAAACTGACGTGAAACTAATTCCCAAGGCCGCGACTATCCGCGCCCAAACGAACTTTTACCGGCAAAAAAACGGAATTCAAAATCGTATTCGGCGGCGCCCTCTGTCGGCGACGTCGTCGACTAATTGCTGAATGTCGGACGCGCGTTTCACGATAGATGGGACCTCATCAGGAGATTTTAGATTATCGGGATATATTTGGGCAATCAAAATCTCAAACAAACGATATCTGTCCGTCGGCCGTCTGGGCGACATCTCCCGGTCGCCGTGACAACTTTATTGCGGCCAGAAAATTAAAGTTGACGCAGCCGACGATAGATATCAGTACGCAGTAACAAATGGGGATTTCGATATGGCGTTTTAATCACTTTCACTGTAAATTTACCAAAACCAAATAATTTAGTAGTAAATAATGATATTATGCCTAATACAGTTTGTGTAGTTTTGGTTAGCTCAGTGGGTAGATATTTAGTTGTGCTTCTCTACAAGATTTTTTTGCAGTTCAACCTAAAAGTTAAGTAATCTTGGTTCATTTAAACGGATCGAGATGAAAATTGTATTATATTAAATAAAATTACGCGATTTTTACCGTCATTTGATGTGAAAGTAAGTACTTATGCTTATAACGGTTCTTTGTGAAATAAATGGTTTTTTTTTATCTTAAACGGTTACATCCGGGTGTGGAAAAAAATATCCGATTCTAGGTAAACTTTTTTTGAAATGTCAGCGACTACATTAAATTACTTAAAAAATAGGGTTTTACTGACATTTAAATTCAAATTTCGAATTTTTAAGGAGTGACGACAACGTGGCGAAATAATTATGATCCTCTAATATTATTAACAAATGGAATAAAAGCAGTGCAGTGGGTTTCGCTATTTTTTTAACACTGCCTTATACTTTTGTGTATTGAAAAATGATCCGTTGTGTGGAGTGGATGACACATTTCTTTCTTGAAGATGCCACTTTCTCTTCAAAATGTCAATTTCGGGCAAGGTTTTGGCTTCTCATGTGCACAAGAAGTTTGGTCGAAGCTTTTCCTTTTCTTTGTTCGTCTGCCTCTCACTTTGTGGTACAATTTTAACCATTAACTGCTATTTATAGTTCATTGTTATCTGACGCATCATCCAAATATAGGATACAATCATGACAATTTTATTTTACTACAAAACATGGGATAATTGAGTTTTAAAAGTATAATTTTTAATATTTATCAAAGTTTGTCGTGAAATTCTGCGATGAGTAAAAGACGTACACAATAAAATTACATCGATTTTGAAAAAGTTCCATAGTGGTCCGATAGAAAAACTATGCGTTCCTTTACCACAGGAAACCGCGAAGCTCTTGCTTTTTAAAATAAAAAGCTGATTCGCGCTACGCGCTACGAACTTGTTATTATGTAAAAGTCGCAACAAAATGCATTTCACGCGGACAGCCGGGATCGGGGGATCTATCGGTCGCCGTCGCAACCGCTCGGCTCGGTGCGATCGTTCCCCGCCAGATGGCGGCACGTTGCCCGTCCGAATCCTTGCGTTTCCATCGAAGCTTTGTTGACGGCGAGGCGGATGCTCGTGTTTCTGACGACACCAACTTTCAGGTGCGTTCTATCGTTTATCCCGTGGCCGTGAAAACGGCTTGCGGAGGATAGAGACCCGCGACATTCGCGGAAATTCCGGCACCTGAAATGTCCGCCATTCCAATGGCGGCGTCCTAAGTAGGCCAGCGACCGGTCGGTAACCATAAGCTACAGGTTCTTCGGGGAGTGCTGCCAGGGTCGAACCAGTCAAGGCTGGATACCCGATATAAAACGTAAAAGCGACGGTACTGGAGGGGCAGTAGTTGTTTCGGCGCTTGTACACTGACTTCCGGTTGTTTCGAACCCCGACGATGATTTTCCTGGTGAGTTTTCCCGAATCGCTTGCCAAAATTCATTTTCCGACGCGGAAAATTTTTACGCTTACGCAATCATAACGGTAAAATCTGGCAACCTTGGAAAAAGACAAAAACGGCGTTCGATCGAGCACGGATATTTTTTAAGGCCGATTCGCGTGGCAATCCACGCAAGCGGGGTAATTAACTTACGGCCTAACTGTTTTTACGTAAATTATTAAACGAAAACACGAAAAGAGAACTCGAACGAGCTTTCGGCCTTGGAAAATGCGCCGACAAAAAAACATGCCGCAGAAAAAATGGCGGGCGTGGACCACGGAAAGGGGAACGCGCGGTATAACGGGCGCGGTCATTTGCATTTTGAACTTTGCTTGTTCCGCGTACCGACCGTTTCCATTTTTTTTTCGAAACTCTTTGACGTCGATCAATCGCGAGGCTTATTACTTTCGAGAAATCGATGAAAAAAAAACCGTTTCTATTTTTTGTCTCTCCGTTCTCCGTTTCTCTGTTCTGTGTTCCACGATTTTACGACGATAACTTTCGAACGGTTTGAAGTAGGCGCTACGAAAGTTGCTCCTTTTAAGCAGTCCACGGGGTGCATAAGATATGTAAAAATGGCAGCGGTCGAACCTCGGCGTCCATCTTGTTTTGCCGATTATCGACTGTTTTTTGGGCTTTGCTATGGAACACGATAAGTCTCCGAGAGTTGAAGTTATCGACTTCAAATTTGGCACACGTATAAAGCTTGGTCCCCTAACGGAACGCATTGAGGGTCCCCCAATTATTGAAAATTCGCTATAATTTAAATACCGTGTTTCAGATGTCTGTTTCTTTTACATGACGATATGGCCCGTATAGACGGCTAAAACTAATGTATTTAAGATTTTTACGAATTAAACAAGGTGATTGTGATATTCCGTGCAATATTAAAAAACCTAATAGGCGCTCCAAATTTGCAGCTAACGACTTCAGATTTGGCAGAGAAGTAGAAGTCGGCACCTACGTTTAAACTAATGAAATTTGACGCCATCCAATATGGCGAAGTATTTTTTTAAATTGAATTTTTGTTGGGTCATTTCGGTTTAGAGAAAAAAAATATTTTCTAGAAAACCATTTGCTGTGTCGGAAAGATTCATGGATATAGGAAACGTGGGAGATCCAAGGCGACAACCTCTAATACGAACATTTTTTGAATTTTATACCGGGTGTGTTGTTTTTGGGAAAAAAAAATCCCTTCTTGTGGGTAAACAATACCGTAAACTGGATCGAGAGCTACGATACAATTACATCGATTTTGCGAAAGTTCCGTAGTGGTCCGCAGGAGCAGGATAGAAAAATAATGGGGTCCCTTTTTTGACAAGAAATCTCAGTAACGGAGGACCGTTATCGGTACAGAAATGATCAGCGTCGAAACATTTTTTTTTTGCCAGTCCGTTCTCTCTTCTTTCTCCGTTCTTTGTTCCACGGTTTTTCGACGGTAACTTCCGAACGGTTTGAGCTACACGCTTCTAATTTTGCTCCTTTTTAACCGTCCACGGGGTGCACAAAATATATAAAAATGACGGCGTTCAAGCTTCGGCGTTCATCTTTTTTTTTCGATTTTCGACTGTGTTTGGTCACCTAACGGAACCCGAGTTTACGATACCGTTCAAATTAAATCGTCCCATCTTTAACAGTTTTTCATTTATCGCCGATAATTTACCCACAAAAACGAAAATTTGTAGGATCTTTTAGATTTTTTTGCCCAAAAACGACACACCCTGTATATAATTCGAAGAATGTTCGAAATAGAGGCTTTAGCCTTGGATCTCCCATTTTTCCTGGTACACGAATTTTTCAAATACAGTAAATTTAATGTTAATAATAAATGACGTCATCGCGTCTAGATTGATGTAATTTTCTTTTGGAATTTTTCGAATATCGCGAACCGCGTATGCGACAGACGACAACTGCAAATACAACAATTCTACAATGCTGTCTCAACCAATTCGCCATATTTTTTAGGAATTTTCATTAATGGCCAATAATTTTTGTCCATAATTGAAAAACCCTATATATAATCGACCTATCGAAGCCGGGGGAGTCGGGAGGTCGGGAACTATTTAAGAAAAATAAATAAAAACTACATTTGCAGTGGTTGAAAAAATTTTTGTTTCTCGAAAACGCTTACGGACGCCGAAGAAATTCTTGGACCAGAAAACGCGCGAGATCCAAGTGTAAAAATCATTAGGAATAATATTTTTCGAAAATGTGCAGGGCGCTTCGGAAATTTGCGAAAAACTAAAAAATGGGGTAGTCTTTTTTTATTTAACGTTTCCACATATTGTACAGGGGGTAAGATCGACTTCAGATTTGTTTTTTTTTTTTATCTATTTTGGCTTTCGCAAAAAAATACCTGGATCAGTAGCGGAACAACACAATTTTATATGGGGCAATCAAAATATGAAAAAAAAACACATAACCTCAATTTCTGCCTAAACTATGCGAAATTCCAATAGGAATTTCTGAAGAAAGTGACCTTTATTTTAACCAAGGATTCCAAAAATGTCGAAATATACAGGGTGTTCTATTTAAAATAACAAAGTTGATGTCGGACGGACACTTTTGATATTCCCTGTATCAACAAAATTATGGTATTTTAAATTTTCCGAAGAATATAATACAAAAGTCACCTGGTTTGAAACGCAATTTTATTTTATTATATTTTTGCATATACAGGGCACCCAGTGTTGCCTGGGTCAACCCATTTTCTTTTTTTTTTAAATGGAACATTCCGTATATTATTACATTTTTGGATTCTACTCGAGGTTCTACTAAAATTTCATATAGAATATTATATACCTATGTCCAATGGTTTTTGACATATTTAAGTTTTGATCTCAAATACAGTCGAAACTCTATATAGCGAAATTGAAGGGACTGCTTTTTTTTCTTAGGAACATTTTATATAAATATTTAAGAACTACATTTAATGTTTCAAATTCTCTAGCAGCGTAACTGAATATTGGGCTTGTTGAATGGTTGGTGGTGGTCCCAGATTAACTTCTTCATCTTCTTCTTCCTCTTGGTGCTCTTCCTCGTCCTTTCTTGCTTGTTGTAAAATGGCTTCCTCTGTCAAGTCTGCTGTTGGAGGCAAATCCTGGTCTATCTTGCATAAAGTCTTGCAACTCCTCACTTGTAAACGTAATTGTTGTATGAAACTGTTTTATCCACTCTGTTAGTGGCTGCTCAACTCCCGAGTCCTGTTCGCATTCTGTCTCTTTAGTAAGTCCTGCATGACGATAGGAGTGTTGAATTGGTTCTGCTGTCACCTCTTTCCAAGCTTTACTAATAAAGTTGACTGCATCTAGCATATTAATGGCAACTTTGTCTTCGAACTCTATCATTTCCATTAAAATGTTTTTCCCGTATCGACTCTTAAAACTTTTTATTACGCTCTGGTCCATCGGCTGTAATACACTTGTTGTGGCTGGAAGAAATGCAGATGTGCAGGGCAGTTATCTAAGAGAAGTAATATTTTCCTCCCATCCTCCATCCCCTGCCATCCATGCAGACTTGTCTGCCTTGTAAGTGCCCGGCAGGTGCTTGATGTTGTGAAAACATGGTGGGTTAGTCGATTTTCCAATCACGACCAGCTTTCTTCTTTCTCTCCCACTCATATTGGCAGCTACTAGCACTGTTATATGTTCTTTAGAAAGTTTTCCACCCACACACTTTTCACTTCGAAATTTAAGAGTTTTATCTGGCGCCATTTGGTGAAAAATACAAGTTTTGTCAGCAGCAGGGTGCTTTTCTGCTAGTTTTGGCCACGTCTTCTCGAGGTAATCGTTAGTGACGTTTCTGTCGACATCACGGGCTTCGCCACTTATCTGTCCATAATTTGTACCATGCCTCTATTTTTAACTTCTCCAACCATCCTTCCGAAGCCTTGAAAATTTTTCTGCTTTTAGTTTTACGATAGGTCCACTGTCGGCTTTCTTAGTTTTTTACTAGAACTGCCTGCCGCTTCAGCCTGAATGATTTTTCCTTTGCACTTCCAAATCGTGGATACAGTCGACGGTGTAAGTCAGCAAGAAAGCAACTTTATCATCTAGAGATAAAATGTTTCGCTTGCTAGCCATGCTCGCCATATTCGCTAAGTCAAATTAGAACTGACTGAAACAATGGTGTGCTTTTATACATACCGATAAAGGCATTAAGATAATCGCTTATTACGAGAAAAACACTTAGGGCGACCAGGTTCTCGGTAATTAGATTATTAGGGTAAGGAAGTCTGAGAAGGTAAGGGACTATTAATTACATGTCGGCCTACATTTTTTAACATTTTTTAACATTTTTTTCGTACGCCCTGCATATTCTCAGATAAGGAATATAGGAAATGGGCCGCATATTTTTAATCCGCCAATACTGTTATAAAGAAACGACAACGATTTTTTTCAAAAATGTTTGAAATCGGGAAGTTCTTCTCTCGGATTGCGAAACGAGTCGTGAAATGTCGTTATAAATAAAAAAGAAGGCACGCCGGTAAACAAGCGCAAATGCCGCAGATACTGGCGTGTTGCATGGCGGCGTCCGCGTGGGGGCAGCAGGGGGGATACCGGGGGGACCCGAGGAACGCGGCCATTATCGCCGAGCAGCGCTACCTCATCGCCGACGGCAGATTCGGCGCCCAGTACTCCCAGGAAGACGGCGTCAACTTCAAGGAGGAGAGCGATCCCGACGGCACCCGAAGGGGCAGTTACTCTTACCTCGATCCCAACGGCCAAAAGTATAACGCTTTTTACCATCTAAGCTTCGATATTAATGGTATCCCGCGTCCTGCACAGGCACACCATCAGCTACACCGCCGGTAAACACGGTTTCATGGCTACCGGCGACGGGGTACCGAAACCCCCGCCCACGGTACTGCCCGTAGCGCCCCAGCCACAGTACCAGCCCTTGCCGCAGTACAATCCTCCGGATTATCAGCCGCCGAGGGCTCAGTACCAGCCGCAGCCCCAGTACCAGCCCCAGCCTCAGTACCAGCCGCCCCAGCCTCAGTACCAGCAGCCTCAGCCCCAGTACAGGTACGACGGCAACAGTTACGCAGCTAACTACACGATAGCGTTCTGATTTTGCCGCGTTTACCGTCAATATATCGTTTACCGAGTAGTATTTTTCTTGCGATCACGTCTTTACCTATCCCCGACGTTTCGTCCAAAATATTCTTACCTGTCTTTTTGGAAAAGGTGACGTAATTAAATAAAAGGTAAGAATACAAAATTTAATTGATATTAATGTAATAATTAATTATTTTCATTCGCGTTTCGAAATAAAATGATAGCGATTCAAACGTCAGATATTATACTACGCCGTTTGTGTTTTCCGTTTATATAGGTTTTTAATTAATTATTTAATTAATTTTCTTAATTAATGTTCTTAAAAACCTTATTATAAATAAAACTTCAAGGATTCATAACGGTTATATAAATAATAATAACATTTTGGGTTTTATTGCTGCAAGATATCCAGGTAAGTTTCACAAAGCTTATAAAACGAAAAGTTTTTTTGTGATAAAAGATTCAGAAAGACTGTTTAAAAATATTCATTTTGACATGATAACTTTTTATTATTAATTTTTTTATTATATTATTTTTTTATTTAATATTTTGTTTTTAATTTTTAATTAATAATAAAATTTATGTTGGACAAACATATAGATCCTTCAAGAAACGCATTAACGTACAAACGAACAAAAAAGAGAAAAACACATTTTTGACGACAATTTTGATATTTTACATACAGCCACAAAAATTAGAAAATTACATTTATTGGAAGCCATGGAGATTAACAAAATGAGACATTCAAATGTATTGCTTAACGATCAATTTTTCGGTATATATCGTAGCAAGTAGTTTGTAAATATTACATTCGATAAAGACACGGTGTTGTCGAAACAATTGTCATGTGAATATATATAATTTCGTGAAAATCTGAACTTTTATTTCTTATTTATTTTGAAAAATATATCGGTATTGATACCAACATTTATCTCGAAGAATTTTTGTTGAATTGTATCTGAAAAAGCGAAAATATACGGGGTGTTTGATTTACAATCGAGACAGCGCGACACCGCGTATGTAATAAAAAATAATTCAATTTTGTATATCATATTTATTATATATAGACATTTATATACGGGGTGTTTCAATGCTCGTAGCTCGGTTTTAATTTGAAATCACCCCGGCAACACGTTCCCGAGCTACGGTGGTCGTATCGTGGGACGCCCTGTATATTGTCGGATAAAAATTAAAATAAAAAAAATCATGATTCTTTTTTTTAATCAATGATTTTCGCTCCTTCAAAATTAAGACTAACCAAATGGAAACTTTGGCTATTGATTTTGCGTTTTCTGGTCGCCCCCGTATAAAAAAGGACCGTTTCCAGGGCCCAGCCGGAATACAGGACGACCACCCCCGCCCCCCACAGGTTCTACCCGCCCGGCAGGCTGTCGCTCAACAGACTACCCGACGGTTACGCCTACAGCTTCAACAAGACGTAAAAAATACGCTTCCCCCACTACCTAACCTTGTTACTACATTATTATATTTTATTAGCGTGTAAGTTCGCGTCGGACGCATAAAGAGACTGTTCTCAATAAAACCGTATCGAATGTTGCGAAGTTTAAGTTCGAAATCCCCCCCCCCCCTCCACCACCCTCGAACCGCGGAAATGAAAGTCCCGTGGCCTTTCCCGACGTATCAATGTCTACCAGTATGCAAAGTGCCTGTCGGGTCAGTTTTTCAACATTTGAAAAACCCGGCGCATCCGCCAATTCGTCGACGGAACGCCCACAGGTCCGGATTTCGGCAGAATTCGGCATAACATGACGTGGAGCAATGGGCCGGTCGGTCCGCACAAGATCCCTTCACACGTACTCGAAGCCTCTACGGCCGTTTAAAATAATGCTGGATCTCGTTTTTAAAACCAAACTGTACCCGATAAAACTTTAACGATGTTATTAGCAATTCCCAATCGTTATCGTCCACTATGTATGAAAGTTTAATCAGTAGAGGACGTGTTCAATAAGATTGATTGATTGAACTTCAAAGTCGCGACGAATTTTAATCAATATAAAAAATTGTACAAGCAATAACGATTTCCAATGATATTTTTTCAACTAAATCGCGCACCCTGTATGACGAAACCTGAAACTCTCTCGATACATTTTACGATACCATTTAAACCAAATTATAACACGGCTGCAAATTTACCCACAAAAACGGCAATTTTAAGGGTCTTTTGGATTTTTCGCCGATAATCGACACACCATGTACGTAATTGGAAAAATGGCGGAAATAGAGGTCATAGTCCTGAATCTCACGCGTTTCCTGGTAAAAGAATTTTTCCCATGGAGTAAATGGTTTTCAAAAAAATATTTTTTTCTGAAACCATGCAGTACACCGTAGTAGTCAATGACGTCATCGCGAGTGATTTCCATATGCATTTTTTCAAATGTCTCGAGCAGCGTGCGTGACAGACGACAACCGTAAATAGAAAATTCGTAGCTCTCGATGCGGTCTATAATACTGTTTAAACCAGTTAGCCGTATTGTCTACCAATTTCGATTTACGGCTAATAATTTACTCTGGAAAACAACAATTTTTAGGGTCAATTATATTTTTGTCTATGATTGAAAAACCCTGTATATAATCGAAAAAACGCTGCAAACAAAATCTATAGTATAGTAGTATAGTTGATGCACCCAGTGAGGTTAACGCAAAAAACTAGGCGAAACAGTAACTAACCGAAATAACTCATAATTATTACCCATACTTACTCGATGGCAGTGTAGTAGCCGACTAAGCCCAGGAAATATTATGTTACCATAGTAACATCGTACGACATTCCGGCCCGTTTTCAATAAAAATATCGGAATAACACACAAACTCCGAATTGTTGATTTATTGCCTGAAATCCACACATCGCAAATTAAAATGTCAACTTGTACCCCATCTGGCGTCGGGCCGTGAAACCAAGAAGCGGTAACAAAAGTTTCAATCGACGCGCGCCAGATGACGCAATCAACGTGAACGTCGTCTCGCGAAACAGCGTACGTCTGGTTGCATACGCCCTAAACGCCGTCCACCGAACAAACTGTTTCTTTTCGCTGAGCTTTTCATTTTCGCGACGACAATAACGACTCGTAGCGGCGACGGAAACGCGGAGATCGGTTGGGAAAAGTTTTCTAAACGCGATTGTGGCTCGCCGCTTCAGAAACGAGTGGCACTCGTGCGGGTATTGACGAAATAACCGCGCGGACGTTACGCTTTGTTGCCGTTAAACAATGGACGCTGTTTGTGCGTGTTTCCGCGCCAATGTTACAACATCGAGTGGCCTTTGTTTTAAATTTGTTGCTCCGCGAGGCCATTAGGGCTGCCTTTGTGGCCCGAGTGGCTTTTGTTGCCCCCCACGGTTTTGTTACTATGTCGTTTTTCGAAGATCCGTTGGGAGAAAACTAAATCAAATGTTTTAACAGACGTTAAGTTATGAAGACACGCAGGGCGTTTTCTAATGTGAATTCTAAAAAGAAAGCTTCATATGAATTATTTTTTTGAAGTACACCAGTGGCGGCGCTGTATTTTGGCAGACATTGATGGCGCGGTTATTATTATTAAAGAATGCTGCAATGTAATAGTTTTTCCATTAACTGATATAATCAATAGGTGTTTCCTCACCGGAATAAATCCGGAAGTTTCCAAAGAAAGGTGAAATGTGAAACAGTTTCCAAAGTTTTGGAAAAAATTATGTATTCTCAATTCATAATAATTTTGCAGTAATAAAATCTCAGATAGCACACAATATCCCCAGTATATCCGGTCAATGTCCCATTTAAGTCGCATATATACTAAGAAAATCCCAGGGATACGCTCTGAATGGATAGCTTGGAAAAATCGTAAAACAAAATGAAACCTAAAAATTTAAATTTTGAACAACTGAGAAGGAAAATACTTTTTATTTGGCAAAGTTTTTGTGCGCATCTACATCGACGTTGGTGTTGGCAAGTTCTAAAAAAAATCCGGAACGCTTTTTGAAGTTCGACGAGACCCAAAGGACACTTTATCCAGGGAGTATTCACAAACAAATTACATCATGCGGCCCTCTAGGACAAGAATCCGCGAAGCGCCTTCTTTTTAAAATAAAAAGGTGATTCGCGCTATTTGCGACGAACTTACCCCGCTCACCGACGATTTTTCGAAAGCAATCTTGTTTTCTCAATTTTTTAAATTTTTCAAGAGCAAAAATTTATATATAGCGTTTAAGTTAAGATTGCAAAAGATTATTTTTATAAATCGGGGTATATTCTTCGAAATGTGAGGATTGCAATGCAATCTAGCACGAGGATCTCCGCTAGGGTTTGGTTAGTTGCCAAGGAAGTGTGTTGAACGTGTCCTTTTCTATGAGAAAAAAACTTAATTCAACTTGAAGACCCAAAATTTCAAAAAACATTTCCAAAAATATCATGTTTACGTCCGTTTTTTTTTAAGGGAATCAGTGGCGTGCTACTGACTGCCTAAGAACAAATAATATTTTGGGCAATTAGATCGCCTCCTTCTTTTTACTTTTACAGTTTTAATGAGTTATATTTAAAACAAACACCCTGTATAATATATCTTTTTCCTTGTCTTCTTTTGATTGGCCACTTTTTTCTATGATTGGGGGGTTGTACTTGAGCAGCTTAGTGCGAAAACATTTTACTATTATTATCATTCAGTAAAGTGAAAAGAAAAATAGGATATACTCCGAGATACACCCAGGAAGCACTCGTTACAGTCCGATTAACTTCTTGCGTGGAAAACCCTCGAATTCGGGTTCAACCCCGGGCCTACTGGGGCCTAATTAACCGCTCTGCTGTTAAAAATCGAGGGACCGGATAATGCCGTAAAAATCTGTAATGCCGGAGAGTTGCCACGGGGTGAAACAAAAAAGTTTTGAATGTTTTTTTTACACATTTTCGTCAAGAAATAAAAGTCGTTTTGTATTTGTTCCTTTTCTTCTATTCCTCGGTAACTTTTTTCTTTCACTTTTTTTCCTTCGCCGTCTTGTCAATTTCCTTGATGTTGAGGTTGTATCAGGGCGGCTCAGTTACTAGCTTAGTGGAATATTCTGTTATTATTGTCACTCAGCATCGCCGATTGGCCAGAGCCGAAGAAAGAAGAAAAAATGACGGACCTGACGCACAATGCGGACAACAAAAAGGACCGTATCTACCGGCTTACTGGTCGTAGTTTGTTGAAAGGGAACTCGAAACACAAAAAGGCCATCCGGTCCGGACAAAAAGCAATTAGCGATGCCCTTTGCTTACCTGACAGTTCGACTACAATGGACGCGATCTGATCTTTGGCGTTAAACGGTAGCTGGGATTACATTCGAAAAACACAGACGAAAGTGATTTCGTTGCCTTGCGATCGGGGGGCCGAATATACGCGGGCGTACGATCGGTTGCATAATCCGCGTCTAGTACTTTGACAGGTACAAACGTCAAAAATTTAAAAATAATAATTTACTAAATTACCTAGAAAAAAAAAAATACTAATACTAATAATTGAAGTATAGACAATTTGGTCATGGATGCCGAAAATTTCATAAATTTATCTCATATATATATATATATATATATATATATATATATATATATATATATATATATATATATATATATATATATATATATATATATATATATATATATATATATATATATATATATATATATATATACCTTTGTAGATAGTATATCTAGTATAATAAACCTCTCAAAGAGTGTATTGATTGATGCATGTGCAGTTGTTGGAAATCGATTGTTGGACATTGCGAACACCTCCCTTACGAGTGGAATTTTTCCGGGGGCATGGAAGACATCAATGGTGATCCCTGTACAGAAGGTTCCGAACACCGAGCTATGTCAAGAGTTTAGACCAATTAATACCGTTCCAGTTTATGAGGAGGTTCTTGAGGTTGTGGTGAAACAGCAGCTGCAAAGCTATTGTGACGTAAACAATATTTTCGTGCCTAACCTGTCGGGCTTTCGCACCAAACATTCAGGTGTTGTTACTGTCTGTGATGATTTCTCGAGGGCCTTGGAGGATGGTAAATTTGTGTTGGCTGTATTTTTGGACTTTAAGCGTGCTTTCGAAACAATAAGTAGAACTAGACTGTTAAGAAAACTGTACAAAATGGGTATTAAGGGAATAGCGTATAAATGGCTTCGTTCGTATTTAACAGGTAGGGTACAAAAAACGAAATATAAAAATTGCATAACTGTAGAACATGGTGTTCCTCAGGGGACAGTTTTGGGACCATTGTTGTTTTTTATGTATATAAACGATGTTGTAAATATTTTAGATGATACTAAAGCGATATTATTTGCTGATGACACTATGATTTTTATTGTGCAAATGCAAAGAAAAACGAATGCCGATCTGAAGAAAGCTTTTGAATGGCTGTGCAATAATAACCTTTCTATAAACACGGACAAGTCCAAATTTTGTATTTTTGGTTATATTAACAACAAAAAATTAATTCATGAAAACCAAACTAAATATCTGCGTGTTATATTTGACTCAAATTTGACGTTTCATACACATGCCGATTTCATAATGAATAAATTTTATTGTATAACAGCCTAGTTGCTCCCCATTTGGAATTTTGTTAAATTTACCTAATTATCAATAAGAGCAATCGCAGACTGTTCAAAATAGGGCCATGAGAAATATACTAAAGTGTAACAGATATACGCCAATTCAAAGCATGTTGAGTGTTCTTAATTTCTTGTCTGTAAAACAAAAAGTAATGTTTTATGTTTGTGAAAAAGTTACCTATTTCAAAGACATTCATTCTTACAATACAAGGAATTGTGGTAATTTTATGTTAAGACAATATTATTCTAGTCAAGTACAAAACTCTATATTACATAAAGGCCTTAACCATTTTAACAATTTACCGCATGATATTAAAAACTGTGATACACTTAATGCATTTAAAAGACTTTTAAGACGCCGTGTATTGTCAAAATTCTGATTTCTGTGTGTTTGGCTTTTGGTTTCCGTTTATCTGGAATTTTATATTTTATATTTAGAATTTGTATTTTGTATTTTTTATTTAGCATAATGCTAAATAAAGATTATATTATTATTGGGTCTCCATACAAAGCTACGTATTAATCCACTCTATATAACGAAGTTCTCACTCAAGTTCAAACAGATATAGAAAAAAAGGAAGGTTGTTCTTAATTTATTAACAGACAATTTTATTAAAAATTATTAGTAGGTATTTTTTTTTTCTAAATAAGAGTAGTTCATAATTGGTTTTTATTTTTAGGGTATTATGTTATGTCATTATACTTGTAGCAGTAAAAATAACAGCGTTATATATAATATTTATTTTCTGAAAGACACTAGTGGGTAGTTCGTAAAAAGTAGATAATTTGTTTTAGATAGATATTTTATTAGTCACAAAAAAAACTACTCGATTTAACCAGTGCATACTGTTTGTTCGCAGACAGTCAGTGGCGTGCCACGTTTGCATTCAATTATGAGCAGAAATGATTTCATAATTTTTTTTTAAGCGATCGGATTGAAAAGACTAGAGATTGTATGAATAGTTTTTATTCTTAGAGAAATCAGTGGCGTACCATCAATGAAACAAAGCGATAATTACATTTACATCAGTTCGTTGTTTTAATGGGATATATTGTTTGTATAATCCTGTATTATCTAGGCGAGACACCGATCAATCTGTGTACCGACTAAAGCGTCAAGATTTGAAGAATTTCCTTCACACGGGAAAATACGGCCCAGCCGATGGATGCGGGTCCTTCCCAGATGAAGACCTGAAGTGGGCGCAACAAAACACGGCTCGAGAGTTATTAGTGGCGGTGGTTAAACTTCCCATCGTATACTTCGAGTGTTCGGGTATTGTTTGTGGCAAATACAGGAAGCGCCGACAGTCGACATGGAAGATACACCATTCGGAAGCGGGAATTTCAAAAGAAAACGGATCAGAAAGCGAGAAAAGTCGGTTAAGTCGATAAATTTGGAAAACTTGCTAATTTGAGCGGTATCTTAAGTGATTTTGAAATTTTGGATGTTTAGATTTTATTTTTTTTTAAATATTCATTTTTTTTGTAATTTTAAAAATTTGAAAATTATAACTAAATATGATCACTTTCAAAATTTTTTAAAAAATTTAAAAGTATTCTCACTTGACTTGATAACTTGATAATTTTGAAAGTTGATTTTAAAATTTTAAACGTGTTTTAATTTGTAAATTATTATAAGTGTTCCAATGAAATCTAAAAACTCTAATGAAAGCTAGAAACCTCGGTTCAAAAATTCAAAAATTTGTATTTTGCTGCAACATCAAAAATCAGCAAATTTTAAAAGATACTAAATCATTTTAAATATTTGAAAATTTTAAATAGATATGATCAATTTGAAATTTTTTTAAAAATTCAAAGGTATTCTCACTTATTTTAAACCCCCTTTTCTTCAGAAAAGAAAATAAGCAAGGAAACTGATTGATTTTGAAATTTTAGACGTGCTTTAATTCATCTAATTTAATTACGATTATGAAATATTGGAAGAGCGCTAATGTAATTTAAAAAAAATTGTAATTCAACAATTTGCAACGAAACAAAAAATAAACCAATGTGTTTACGATTTGAAAATTTTAAATAAATATGACAATTTTAAAAAAATTAAAAAAAGTATTTTACTTCGTTCCGTTTTTTAATTATAAAATTTTATGATTATTCTCACTTATTTGCGTATTCCCCTATCAATCAAATATTCTAATTCATTTCGATATTTAAATAGTGTTGTAATTCATTAAGTTTCTTAATGTTAAGATTTTAAAACTACTCTCACTTGCAAACAAATTTAAAATTTTAAAGATGTTTTAATTTAAATTTTGAAAATTCTTTTAATTTAATTAATTTCTTTATTTTTAAATACGAAAAGTTTATAATTTTTGCATTCAAATTGTAATTCGTTTTAAAATTTTAAAATATTAAAAAATTCTAATGACAATTTAAATATTATAGAATATGATATGATTTAAATTTTAATTCATTTTAAATATTTAATCTAATAAATGTGTTATAATTAATTTAATTTCTTTAAAATATTATAAGATTATAATTCAATTTACGATTCGCTTTACAATTTTAAAATATTAGGATTGTTCTAATTCAATTAATTCCTTAAAAATAAAATATTACAAAATTCTAATTACTTTTAAACTATATTTTAATTGATTTTTAAAGTTTTTACCGCGTTTTAGTTTATTTTGTTTTTCAATTTTAAGCTATTAAATGTTTCTAACTCTTTTTTTTTACTCTAATCCATTTATTTTTTTTTATTTTAAAGTATTGACAGATTATAATTCAAATTACAATAATTTGTTTCATTTATAATTTCTTTTTTCAATTTTAAGATATTACTAGTGTTCTAATTGTCTTGAAAATTTTAATTCAATTAATTAAATTAATTTCTTAGTTTTTAGAATATTAAAAGTTTCTAATGACATTTTAAATATTATTTAATAAAATATGATTTAAATTCTAATTCATTTTAAAAGTTTTAAATAATAAAAGTGTTATAAATAATCGAATTTCTTAATTTTAAAATATCATAAGATTATTAATTTTTCAAAGAAACTTCAACAGGTACTGTAATACTTTTTACAAAACTTCTGGATTCCTCCTGCGTCGGTTTTTGCTGAGTCAAAATTGTTTAGTTTCAGTCAAGCTCTGAAGAAGCCAACAGGACGATTGGCGAAACGTCTGCAATTTCGACTCAGCAAAAACCGACGCAGGAGGAAGCCAGAAGTTTTGTAAAAAGTATCATAAGATTATCATTCAATTTACGATTCATTTCACAATTTTAAAATATTGTTTTAATTCAGTTAATTTCTTAAAAATAAAATATTAAACATTTCTAATTACATTTAAAATATATTTCGACTTATTTTAAAATTTTAACTGCGTTTTAACTTATTTAGTTTTTCAACTTTAAGCTGTTAAATGTTTTTAATTCATTTTTTTTCACTCTACTTAATTTAGATTTTTTTATTTTGAAGTATTAAAAGTCTCCTATTCATTTTTCAACTTTCGTAATTTTACAATATTAAAAGCGTTATAGTTCTATTAATTTATTTTTAATTTATTATTATTAATTTATAAGTATAAGTATAAGTATTCTTTATTTCAAAGCATTAAAAGTTTATAATTCAATTTACAATATTATGTACGCGACCAATAAATCAGCTAAAACGATTTGATAAACGTCCGACTTGAGCGCCTTTTATGATACGGCCTCCAGAACAGAACTTTTTCTCCCCACCAAAACGGCTTCTGGGGTTCTACCCGACCTAAACCTAACCGAGATCACCGGTAACAAATCTCGGGCTCCATCGAGCAGTACATAGGCCAAAACGCAGCCACCCTCACCCCCCTTCGGCGCAACACTTCCGAATAGACCCCCAGTCTGGCGAACACTTCCGGTTCGTCGAACACTTCCGGATCCGTCCACAACCTTTCGGCTACGGCAGCGGCCCGAGGCCAAAGTCTCGTGTCCAAATCGTCCACGCTCACCTGCTCGGACCATAGACACGCTTCACCTCCTAGCACTCCCGAGCTGTTGCTCAACTCACTCCACGGACGGTACTCGTAGGCCTTCTGCCAAGGGGTGTACGGATCGCACACTCCCTCCTCTTGGTTCATCTTCCAAGCGCCGAAGCCACAGTCCAAATACCACTTGCCCACTGTGGAGAAGATCACTTTGACGCCTGCGTCGAGCAGGTTACGATACCGTCCGAACCAATACTGCACGACCACGTTTTCCTTGAAAGGAAGACGCTCCGCGTGGTTGTCCGTCAATGGACTCGACCATAGCACCACGTGGCGGGGCATGACGCCCCCGTTGGCAGCTAGGAGCCTCTCCATCATCAGGCCGGTGAAGTTGAGCCAGAACGAGTGGAGGTCGCCGAATGGTTTGCTCGCGCGCGTCTTACTCCAGCATTCGAGGTTCACCTCGTCCCCGCCAACGTGGAAAACCTCCGCGTCGCTTCCCAGCGCGAGGAGATCCTCGTAGATACCCTGCAGCACCGCCAAGGTCTCTGGGTTGTCGGGGTCGAGGAGGGCGTCGAAGAAATCCGACTCCTCGCACGTGAGGAGCTCCCTGGGCCAGCCCCTGTTGACGTGGCTGGGCGCGTCCACCTCCAAGATAACCTTGACGCCCCTCACGCGAGCGTATTCGACGAGGGTCCGGACCTGGTGCGCGGAGTATGTCATCTTAGCGGAATACGCGCCTTCTTCTGCGAATTCGGGGTAACTGGGGAGGATCACGGGGAAGCTTGTCGCGTCCGTCAGGTGCAAGTGGAGCGCGTTGAGTTTCGCGTAGGACATGGCGTCCACGACCCTCGCCAGGTCGGCCACGGGGAAAAAGTTCCTCGCGGTGTCCACCATGACTCCCCGGTGAGGGAAACTGGGTGCGTCTTTGACGTGGACGTCGTGGAGTATGCGCGAATGGTTGAGATGAGGGTCGAACCACACGAGCTGACTGAGCGTCTCCAAGCCGTGTCTCGCGCCGAAGACGCTCTCGGCGTAGACGTTCACCAAGACGTGGTCTTCCAGACGTTGCACGTAAAGCTCGTAGCTCTCGTCGGTAGAGAGCGCGAGCTTCCTCTCGCCGGAACGCACGTGGAGGTTCAGCCGAATGAAGACGACGTCGTCGTCGACGAGGCGGACGTCGCCTTCGGGGAACGACCCGACGAAGAGGTTCGCCATCGCCTCCAGGTCGCCGCGGGTGGCATTGGGGCCGAAAGTTTTGAGCAGAACGTGACGTTTGCGAAACTGAGACGAGTCCTTGTAGGCCACGAGGAGGCTCTTCGGTTTGGGCCATACGGGGGGTGATTCGGGACAAGTCATCCTGCAAGTCTCCAGGGAGGTTCCGAAGGAGGCGCGCAGGCACTTGCCGGCCCGGCACGTGAAAGCTCGCGAGCTGCAAGGAAACTCTTGCTTATCGCCTGAAGCCGATTTGAAAAATATACAGGGAGTTTTCTAATTGGTAAATGGTAAGCTGTACGCTGGCCTTTTTTTGCTTTACTTCGAGATATAATTCATTATTAAGGAAGACTCTTCTATCTCTAGTTCTATAGCCTTGCAAACGTGATTCTTGACAAAGCTTTAAATCTTCATTTAACTTCTACCCAGAATCACAGGTATATATATATATATATATATATATATATATATATATATATATATATATATATATATATATATATATATATATATATATATATATATATATATATATATATATATATATATATATATATATATATATATATATATATATATATATATATATATATATATATATATATATATATATATATATATATATATATATATATATATATATATATATATATATATATATATATATATATATATATATATACCATTTGTTTTTAATTCGATATTATAAAATTTTAATACCACTCCTTATAGCTAACACATTTATGTTACAAATTTGACACCCCTATCGCTTCTTTGGAAGCTTGGTGCTCAGGTAAATAGCAAAATTACCTTATTTCATTAAGACTGGCGGACGTGGCACATGCAAGGTCGAATTGGGCGACCAAAGTCGCGACGAACGCCGGTATCAGTAACATGCTCGACGACAGCGATTCGCGTAATTCCATGCGGCCTGAACATAAAATATTGTTTCAAGTCGTAGTACAACGAAACTGTAACAGCGTATGGTCTGTCCATAGATATAAGAAAGTGACCATGGGTGGTCATTAACATACAATGCAACAAGATTATTATCTAAAGTTTCGGAATTTAAATTCAGGTAAAATTGTGATCCGTGATGGAAAATAATTTTATACCTACCTGTTTAATATTCTTTGCTTTGGTATAATGCTTAGTTTAAGTTTATTAGTAATCATTCTTATTTCGTGTGTAATACAGTGTCTGTTGAATCGTGTGCGAATTATGCAAAATATGTGCGAGTCTAGTGTATCTCAGGAGATGTTCCCGCCCAAATGTAGAAAACACTATTCTATTGAGACTAAGGAAGTTATAAACAATGTTTATTTGACTCTCATTGAACGTGGTGCCAGCTAGCAAGCATCTTTAGAAAAAACGGCAACGTTGACGACAATTCCAACATCAACTGTATGGAAAATTGTGAATAATTCCATTTCAGCGAGGAAAAAAAGAAGCGATGCTGACATTTTCTCGAGTGTAGATGAAAGTGATCGAGATATGATACTGCGTAAAATTTACCAGTTATACGAGGAACAAAGCGTGCCTACATTAGATATCTTAATTAGGAGGTTTGAAAAAGATGAAACCGGTGTTAAATGTGCCAGAACTACCTTATGGTATTCAACACATGGGTTTCAGATTTAAAAAAAATGACAAAAGGCAAGTTTTAATGGAACCGTTTAGAATTCGCAAATGGCGACTGGAATATCTAGAAAAAATTTGGATTTACAGAGGACAACAAAGGCCAATTATTTAATTGAATGAAACCTGGTTCGACACTTATGATACCCCGGAAAAAAGTTGGGTTGACTCAAATGATAAGTGTAAAACAAACGCGCCATCAAAAAGAGGCAAGAGAATAACTATTTTGCATGCTGGCTCTAAAGATGGTTGGTTTCCAAATGGACTTTCTCTGCCTGCGAAAAATATTAATAATAAAAATTATTTGTAATTTTATTTTAGATTTAAATATAAATACTTACATAAATAAATAAATATTGTTTAGTATCTTTCCTAACAGAACCCCAAATAATTAAATTCTTAGCAAAGTACGGACCTGTTCGGCCATATTTCATTCTTACAGCTTGCCCGGGTCTTTCCTTAATTCGTATCAGTTAGTCACTTTCTTATATCTATGAACATACTTTACCTCTAAAATCTACGGGACATACTGTATATCGATCGTACGGCTACGAAGTCTACTGCTTGCTTCAGCGAACCGACAGTTCCGCATTTACGCTAAGCTCGACAAAAGCAAAAACATAGTGAAATAACGCAGTGGGTCGCTACTATCTAACTATACTGATAACGTTTATGAGTAGCAATCGGCTTTGATAAAGCCCTCGCCATGACACCTATACACGTTTATCTCGCGACGATTGAAATGCCGAGGAAACACGTCAGTTTCATGTATTACATGAGATAAAAAAAAGTTCTCTCTCAGAATGTGGGTTCTTCAATTACTTCTTGTTCTTCTTTTGTTTGTTGCCTCACATGGTCTATGAACCTCCCAGATTACGTGGCATATCTGTACATCTACCTTTTATCTGTCATCTATCCACTATTATTTCTTTAATACGGTCTATCCATCGCCTTGCTGGACTTCCTCTTCTATGGAACTGAGGTGGAAAATGTGGTTTAAAAATAGCTTTCAGAATTAACAACACGATAGGAAAATTTTGATAAAACAATAAAATGAAATATCCAAAATCTCAAAAATCAGGTGTCTACAGGTTGAAATGCTGATCTTGACCTAAAATTTATATTGGGCAAACAGGTAGATTCTTCAAGAAACGCATTAACGAACATAAAAGAGCGTTTAAAAACAATAGTCTAGATTCTAATTTTGCTACACACTTAGACACAGAAAAACACATTTTTGACGACAATTTTGATATTTTACGTACAGTCACCAAAAGCCGAAAATTAAATTTATTGGAAGCCATGGAGATCAACAAAATGAGACATTCAAATGTATTGCTTAACGATCAGTTAGATTTAAATACCTCTCCAACATTAATTAACATTTTATTGACATTTTTCGGTATTTATAGTAGCAGGTATTACTAAATATTACATGTGATAAAGAGACGGTGTTGTCGAAACAATTCTCATGTGAAAATATATAACTTTGTGAAAATCTGAACTTTTAGTTGTTATTTACTTCCTCCTCTTCTTATACTACAGTTTGTCTGCTCACGATCTATCACTGACCTTGGCCATCTTCCACCATACTTTTCCTGTCCCTCTTCTTATAAATAAATAAATACATGTATAAATAAATAAATATAAACAAAAATATAATTGAAACCCAAAAATTCCGACCCAGACATAAAAATCTTCTCTATCATCGTGTAAACAAACCCCATTCGTAAATTATCTTTATTGATGATAAATCGCACCATAAAATATAAAAAATTGAGACCTGTGTGTGTTTATTTTGACAAGTTTAAATGTATTGTTTATACGGATTATTTTTTAAAATTTTTATCAAAGCCAGAACATATACACCACGAGGATATAAGAAGAAGAACATGAATGTTGGCCGGAGGTAGTGATGGAATGGGCTCGCAAAGAAAAGAAGAGAAGAACAAGGAAACCGGAAAGAACAAACAAATAAGAAGACGATAGGAATATAAGCCGACCAACAGAAGAAGATGAGATTAGAGAAACCATGATAGATAGAAATACGAAGACCAATAAGAAGAGTATTCACGTGAGGTCATGTAAGAAGGTTCACCCCTGGAGATGGTCAAAAATGGTAAGAAGCAATAGTACAAGAAGAAGAGGAAATCCAGCAAGGAAACGGATAGACTGGGTTAAAGAAATGATCATCATAGATGACAGTAGGTTTACAGATAGACCACGTAAGGAGATAGAGATGGAATATGAGCTGCCAAACAGAAGAAGAAGAAGAGGTAGAGCCGGGATATGAGAAGCCATGATATATAAATTATCGATAAATACACATAATGAGGAGGAAATAAGAAAACCGACAGGAAGAGTATGAGTAAGGATTATCAACTCCGTAAGATGTCAAACTTAACTTCGAGAGCTGCATTGTTTGTCTGTGCGTGTTTACTTATACATAACTTATATATAACTATCTTGACGAGTTTAAATATATTGTTGTCTCTGGACAATAATTTTTTGTATAATTTTTATCGAAACAAGGACAAACAAGGTTATATAAAAAGGAGAATCAAACGGGAAAGATTGCCGAAGATGGTGATGAAATATGAACCGACAAATAATAGTTAAAGAAGAAGAAAAAGTTCAACAAGCAAATCGATAGATGATAATGGAATACGAGCCAGCAAACAGAAGGAAAAGAGATAGACCAACAAGAACAAGAAACCACGACGGACAAATTAGAAACACATACACATAATGAGTAGGAAATAAGAAGAGGGAGAGCGAAAGTATAAAGCAAGATGGCAAAAGTTAATGATAGATCGTGAGCAGACAAAAGGTAGTATAAGAAGAAGAGGAAGTCCAGCAAGGAGATGGATAGACCAGATGATCGAAATAATAGTAAATAGATGACAGATAATAGGTGGATTTACAGAAGGGCCAAGTAACCTGGAAGGTTCATAGAGGCAACAAACCAAACCAGAAAATGAGGGGGCACATTCTGAGAAATAACTTACGTTTATTACGTAAGTAATAAAAATATAATTATAAACTGACAGTCTGGTAAGTTTTTGACACATTTGCTTTTTTGTTTTTAATAGATGAGTCATAGCCAACTGTCTCCACATTAAAACATAATATTTATCATATTAATAAGGCGTTATTATTAAAAAAATATACATTTTCGTACTGTTTTTTCGAAATTAAGTAAAGAGTCTCTTGTATAGTAATAACCGCTTGGGTGTATTTTTCAAAATAAAGTAAAAAGTGTAATTTTCACAGCAAATTTATTTTAACGTTAAAAATAATATATAGGGCGTTACATTAAAAAAAATGTGTTTGCTTCGAAACCAAAAAAAGGCGGGAGCCAGTAAAAAACAGTCTACGTCCCTGGATTGCGTTATTAAACATCCAACTTTTATTTCGTTTAATTATAATTTAATATAACTATGTAAGTATGTCACGTTTATAATTCGTGAAGATGCAATAAATAAAAATCGCTTCGTAAGTGAACTGCCCCCCGCCCCTAATTGACGCAAAATCGGGGCACCCTACGACCCGCAAATTTGTAACAATTACCCCTTCGAAACGAGGGGCCCTCGAGGGCAGGCGAGGATTAATAAAAAAAACTAGGGGGCTAAGTGGGACGTTTAGTTTGGGATTATCTCCTGTGAATTGGGAGACAGCACGGTTTGACGTGGGGCGCATGGGGGGGGGGGGGCAGGGGTTCGATGACTTACGACCACATTTACGTACAGCGCGGTCATAACTGAAGTGTTTCGACGGAAAAACTTATTTCTTAATTAATTTTAATTAATTAAAATTGAAATGTTGGCCCAACGCAGTGGCGTGCTTAGATTTTCTTATTTTAGGCTGCAATCTTAGTCTACGGTTTGATATTTTTCAAAAGGAAAAAAAATGTTTATTTTATTTATATTTTATTTGAACTTTTTCTAGTAGTAGGTTCGGGATTTTTGGCCAATATAATTTAAAACTGGCCCTTCAATTTCTGGAGTTCTTGTACATGTGAAAATGTTCGCCTGTATTATTTATTTCCCATATCGGTAAATATTATAACATATTCTTATTAGAAAATAAACAAATGAATCAATATTATTTCATTTAATCATTCTCTCTCTCTCTTCTCTCTTTGGCACTACAACTCTGGGTGAGTCTTGGCCGCATACACTATTGCCCTCCAGCTCTGTCTATCCTGAGCTTCCAATTCCCAAAGGGTTATACCCATTTTCCTCGCGTCCTCCGTAACTGCGTCTTTCCACCTCCTTCTAGGTCGGCCAACAGATCGTTTTCCTTCTGGCCTTTCACAGTATATGATATTTAAGAGTCTCTGATCATTGCTCCTAACAACATGCCCTGCCCATCTCAGTCGACCAGATTTAATACATCTTACTACGTTTTCCACCCCATATAGTTGTTCAAGTTCATTATTATTTCGACGTCTCCATTCTCCTGTTACAATATCCCTGGTTGGTCCAAAAATCGCTCGTAGTATTTTTCTTTCGAAGACCAGAAGCTTGTCGGTTTCCCTTTTGTTTAGGACCCACGTTTCGCTACCGTATGATAAAACAGGGCGTATTATGGTCTTATATATTTTTATCTTAGTTCCTCTTGTAAGTATTTTGGATCTAAGGAATCCTGATAGCGCATAGAAAGCCCTATTTGCCGATGCAATACGTGCGGCTACCTCTTTTTCGTTCCTGTTGTCATCTGTTATTGTCGCTCCTAGGTATTTGAACTCTTTTACGACTTCAAAATTGTAGTTATCTATTGTAATATTTTGCCGTATTCTTTGCCTGGGGTTCTTAGACGTTATCATATATTTAGTTTTAGCTTCGTTGATCCTTAATCCCATTCTTTGAGCATGATTTTCAAAAGAGGAGAATATTTCTCTAACATCTATAGTATTATGTGCCACAGCATCTATGTCATCGGCAAAGGCTAACATAAGTTTCGTACCATCCGTTGCGAAACCCGGTGTTATTTGGGGAGAGATTTTCTTCATGGCCCAGTCCAGAGCCAGGTTAAAAAGCAAAGGGGATAGAGGGTCTCCCTGTCGCAGGCCTGTATGTATTTCAAATATTTCTGACGTAGTCTCACCAATTCGTACTTTTGCTTTGGAGCCCCCTACGCACATTCTAGTTAAACTTATTAATTTTAATGGGATTCCCAATTCCCTCATTGCATACCATAGCTGATCCCGGTTGACTGAGTCGTAGGCCTGCTGGAAATCCAAGAATATTTGGTGTATGTCTTTATTGAATTCCCAGCATTTCTCCATAATCTGGCGGACTATAAAGATTTGATCCGTCGTAGACCTCCCCGGTCGGAATCCACATTGGTAATCTCCTAATATTTCCTCGGCATATGGTGTTAGTTTCTGCACAAGGATCAATGTCACTATCTTATAGGTGGAATTTACCAATGATATTCCTCTATGGTTACGACAGTCCGCTTTCTTTCCCTTTTTATGGATTGGTATTATTACGCTACTGTTCCACTCATCTGGCATCTTTTCGTGTTTCCATATAGTTGATATGATCTGGTGTATCATTTGGTGTAGTTCATTTCCTCCGTTCTTTACGAGTTCTGCATTAATTTCGTCTTCCCCTGGGGATTTGTAGTTCTTTAATTTGTTGATAGCCTTCTTAACGTCATCTAGTGTAGGCGGTTCCAATTCCAATTCTGCAGTATAGAAGTGCGTGTCTTTGTCACTTCCATCTACTTGTCTATTAAGCAGTTCAGAGAAATATTGCCCCCATCTTTGAATTATATCATCCTCCGACGTCAGTAGTCTTCCGGTGCTATCTTCTACAAAATTTAGTTCTCTTATCGTCTGTCCTGTTTTTCCGATTCTTATTCCTCTATAAAATTCTTTTACTTGGTTGCTCGTGTTGTTTTCCTCTATTCTTCTTACTCTTTCCTCCAAATGTTCCTTTTTCTTCCTTCTCAGTAGTCTTCTGGCTTTGGCACGTGCTATATTAAATATCTCCTTGTTTTCATTCGTGGGGTTCTCCAAAAAAGTCATTCTCTTTCTAGTCTTCTCATCCAATATATTTTTACATTCTTGGTCGTACCATCCATTTTTCTGACTTCCTGTTGTTGTTCCTATAGTTTCACTAGCTGCTTCTCTTACTATCGTCTTTAATTGTTGCCATTCGACTTCAACATTTTCTTCAGTAGTTTCAGTTTGTAGCATTTGCATTTTGTTCCTAATTGCTTCTTTATATTCTTGTACCTTTTGAAGTCTTGTAAATTTGTTTATGTCCCATTTTTTCCTCGTTTCTTTCGTGCTTGATCTTTTGGTGGACAGTTTCTCTTTCAATTTGGATCTTACTAAGAAATGATCTGAGTCACTATCTGCCCCCCGCATGCTTCTGACATCTTCAATATTACTGGAAAAACGACCATCTATCAGGACGTGGTCAATTTGGTTTTGCGTTACTCCATCGTTGGATACCCATGTTATTTTATGGATGTTCTTTCTTTGGAATTGAGTGCTCCTAACCGACATGTTCATTGCTATTGCGAAGTCTGCCAATCTGTCCCCATTATCGTTTGTTACGTTGTGTAAACTATGTCTTCCCACTACACATCTCAGATGGTCTTCCTTTCCTAGCTGGGCGTTGAGGTCCCCCATTATGATTTTTATGTCGTTCCTGGGAGCTGCTCGATATTCCTGTTCTAACAGCTCGTAGAATTCGTCTTTCTTTTCATCTTCTGCTTCATTCGTCGGGGCATGCACTGAGAACATAGTTACGTTGTGCCACCTTCCTTTCACTCTGAGTATGCATATTCTGTTGTTCACCGGCTTAAATGCTATAATAGCCGTTCGATATTTTTTGTTTACAACAAAACCACATCCGAATTCATGTATATTTTCAGACCCTGACCAAAACACTAAAGAGTTCTGCATTTGTACACTGCCTGTGCCTAGCCATCTAATCTCCTGAATGGCAGTAATGTCCATCCCGTACCTTTCCAATTGATCGATCGCTCTCGTAGCTATTCCTGGTCTAAACCAGCTTAAAACGCTCCATGTGCCTAATAGAATATCCTTATTTCGTAGCCTAGGTCGATTATCCTGGTTATCCGTCCGTCTCCGAGGCAAAAGTGTTTGATTCGCAGCGTATAAAGTTTTTCCATATGTAGGTTGCTGGCCTACAGTACAACCCCCAACCTGGAGGACCAGGTCTCAGAATTTATGACCCCCTGAGACAGGGTATCATCATTCATTCAATCATTCCGTTTTAATTAATTTTAATTTAGTCACGAGCTTCGAGAATAAACTTTGCGTGTGTTAAAATAACTAAAATAAATAAAAAATCTTCCAGGTGCGGCGATAAAAAGACATTTTATTTTATTCATTTTTATGCTCAATTAAATGAAAATGTAATTTCAGTAAAAGTCTCCCTGTTAGTGTTTACTGCTCCGATTCATAAAAAACATAAAATTCCGAAAAAAATATTAAAAGTAACGATCAAAAGGCTTTCTAATAATTTCTCTTGCAATAACAAAATTAGACGAATTAAATTTGAATAAAAAAAAACTAGAGGTCCAGAAAAAATGGCTGAAAGTCCCAAAATTGATCTCGCCGACCTTATGCCCCATCATCTCGGATAATTAATATTTTTAGATTGTAGAATTAGACTTTTTTCACTGCTACTTTCGGTTTAGCGGTTCTCCTCTTCCCAGAAAAACATCGGCAAGGCGATCATTAGTCGACAACAACAGAAAGGGTGGTTTATTTTAATACTTTAACTTTTCTAACGGCGCCCCCGTTTCCTAAAGCTCTTTGCGCGCCCTTTGCCGCCAGCGACCAAAATACCCCCGACTACGTCACTAGACAGTAGCGACTAGGCCGAAACTAACTGTCGTAACTAAGAGAAATTTGCAAAAAAACTAATTTTTGTTGTTGTTTATTGTTGCAAAGTATAAACTATTATGGGGTTGGTATTGAGTTTTCATAGCATCACTAAATATGAACAAAAAAAACGTAATTTTACAATTTTGGTCAGTTTATGTTTCAATGTGTGTACTTATTAAAATGTCGATCGATTTCTTTTAAAAATAAACGTTATATTCTCACTTTCTTTTAATCTTGCTTTATTAAAATTAATTTTTTTGCAAATTTCTCTTAGTTTATGGTGATTTTAATGCACATTAACATAGTGCAATTTCACTATAAACTATAACGGTATTTTGTACAATTTTAAGCAATAAGTTCTTGGGATACAAATCAACACCCAAATTATGAAAAAAAGTACGTGCTTTTTTCAAGTTACGAAAATGACCTGCCAAAAAGTTGACAATTATAGTTTTTATTTTTATTATTATTAATATAGAAGCTAGATTTTTGCTTAAGATCATGTTGCAGAACCAATGGTCCTGACTATAGATAGAAGGCGTAAATCTGGTTTGTGAATCTTACGGAGTGGAAAAGAAGCCGCAATAACAGATTTAAGGATGACGTAGTATTTTTTAATTCGACGATATCTTGTCATACATCCATTCACAACAACAGGAAGTTTTTCAAAATGGTATCGTATTTGTTTTTGTATGAATTTGCGAAAGTACTTCGAGCCCCACGTCAATTGTCAATAAATTAAATTGACGTACGTCCAAGCGGCTGTTTTGCGGTCGCGACGCCGCAAGATGGCGGCGTGGAATTAATCGAATCGCCGGCGGCCGCTGAGAACGTTACCCTAGCCGGAGCCGAAACCTGACAGCAAACTACCAGTCTGAAGGGCGCTCGGGTTGGGTTTTAGTGACATCCGCAGATAATGCCCAGCTTAATAATAATACGGTGCCTAAAAGGCAGGTCACTTTGTACCAAACTTCATTATTTTATTTGATCCGTCACCCCTGTAATCCCTACCACGATACGTTTGCATCGTTACGGGCCGGGAAGGGCGGGTAGTGCTCCGTGCGCGTCACTGTAATCGAATGGTGATACGTGATGTCAGAACGCGCAGCTGCGCGTCTCCCATTGGTCGCGTTTTTAAGCCCCGTGTGTGCATATGTCAGGGCCATCGGCAGATCTGCGTCGCGATTGCCGAGTGTTTATTTTGCCTTCGGATTTGGCTCGGAAGGTCTCCTACTGCCTCGTGTTACACGGGATCCCGAAAATAATTCAATAACTTAGAAACGATAACTTATTTTGTTTGGGTAATGTTAGGCACATCAAATAAGGTAGTTTTTCTCGCAGATTTCCAAACAGCCTTTAAAAACGGCTCAATAATTTGCACCTTTGGAATGTACTTTTAGAGATAGTTTAACAAAAAAGAAAAATGTGGGGTTAGTAGACAAGTTTTTTTCCAAGTGACACTATCAATTTTCTGACATATAAGCCTACATCATATTTTTTTAAATGGAACATCCTGTATATTATTTACATTACATTAATGTAACACACTCTATTTTTTAGTAAACTCTTTTTTGATAAATCGACAAAAATAGGAAACTTTCAGATAATTTAAAAGAGTGCCCCGACCGACAAATAAAAATACGTTTATGTTTGACATATTGGTAAACAACTTTGGTGGTTAAATTATTCTCCAAACCATCCGCGAAAGGAGTGATATGCTTCAAGTAGACTTTCTTAAATGAAAAAAATAAGGCAAACCTATTAGGATTCTCTGAAGCACATCTATTTTCCTCTATTACTAGAGTATATGAAGAGACAGGTATTTCGAGGCGATCAATAAACTCAGTTTTGAAAAAATCTAAATAAACTTCATTTAAATTTCGTAAAACTCAAAAACTAAGTGCAGAACAATGTCAAAGGAGGATGCAGTTTTGTTCGGATTTTTTAAATAAACATAATGAGAATAATAATTTTTTGAAAAACATTTTATGGACCGATGAAAGTTCGTTCACTACAAGAAAGGGTTGTAAAAGACCAAATACACGATATTGGTATTTAAATAATCCTAGAGAAATACACGAAATAAAAAGCCAGGGGTAAAGTCTGTTCATGGATATAAGAAAATGACTAACTGATACGAATTAAGGAAAGACCCGGGCAAACACATATGGCCGAACAGGACCGGACTTTGCTTAGAATTTAATTTTATTTATGTTTAAATCTAAAATAAAATTACAAATTAATTTTATTACCTACTTAAATTACTTAAAATTATTCACACAATATATCTATATATATAACTTAGTGGAGGGATGTTAAGAACTTCAGTTTCTATAATGTATAATGTACATTTAGATACATGTAGTTTTGGATTGTTGCTTTTGTGTCACATGAGGCAGGGGTTTTATAATAAAAAATTGTTACTCAACTTTGTTTCTTTCATATTCAGGCAGGGAAATTTTGGCGCTGCCCTCGTACCTTTACAGCGTTAATATTACTATTAGGCCTATTGTTACTATTGATCTCATTTGTATATTGTTACTGTGATATTAAGTTATTGACGTCACAGTTCACGCTCTTATGTGAAAGACCAACCACATGAGCTATTATATTTTTTTATAGTTTTCTTTTACGCGTTTTTCTTTTATTTTTATTACTTACGCTTTTTTTTTCACCAACCATGAAGATTTCCGGTTCTGCGGAGCGTCTAGTGGAAGTAAAAAAAAAAACAAACACTCGAAAATTTTCGAAAAATATATTTAAGTGTACAAGTCAGTCCGTAGAAAAATAAAGGCGACCGGCGATCAACGTCGGCCATTTTCTATGTAGAAAATCGTTTTTTTTTTCAATATCCCGCATCACAGATTGGCAGTAGTACTATGTAGTATCGTTGGGTGGGCTTGGTGGGGTCCCGTCTCATCCTCTCAGCGCTGCGACTTGTACATGTCGCAGATAATCTTCACGATGGGAATGTCCCCTATCGTTTTCTTGAAGAAGAGCTCCTCTATGGTATCCGCGGGGACGTTCCTCACCCCGGAGAGCAGCAACAGCAACTTGCCGAACCTCAGAGGTTGCTGAGGTTTCGCCGTTCCCAAGTACTTGCTCAGCGCGAGCTGAGCGTCGTTCTGCACCGCCTGCACCCTGGTGACTTCCTCCAGACTCTTGCACGTCGTCGTCGGCGGAGGCGTCTTGAACAACGCGACCACCCGTAGACACGCGAACTCCTGGTGATCCATCTGGAAATGTCTGACGTCGGCGAGAACCTCTTGGAAGTCCCGTAGCTTCCGCAGGAAAATCGTGTGATCTTCGGAGCCCCGCGCGAGGGACGCGAGGTCGGTCGGGGGCAGCACCTGCGCCGCCCCCAAGATAAAGAGCTCTTTCCAGCCTTCTTCGAGGAGGAGCAGCTGGTCGGGTAATGAGAGGGCGGTGAACGCGTCCAGACTTTTCGTCCATTGCACGTTCATGAAGAGCAGTCTAGCTGCCGACTCGCATATGGCTTCGGGTGTGACGAGAGTCGGCGGCGGCGTCAGCGGCGGGCTGATTACAGGGGGCGGGAAGTGCGCCAAGGACGGCACCTGGAAACCAGAGAATAGTGATAAACCCAACTGGCGTTTTCTAGAAATCTTCTCTATTTCTCCGTCGACTTCTTCAGACGCTTCCACTGTTTGAGGGGGCCGCCGTATTGGTAAAAAGGTTTACTTATATACAGTCGGGGCTCAATATAGCGAAATTGAAGTGACTGCTTTTTTTTTAATATAAAGGGTTATGGGCACTTGAAAAATAAAAATACGCATATGTGTTCTGTAATATTTAATTATTTTATATACACATTTTAACTACATGTTTCAAATAATCGGTCATTTTCTTTTGAGTACGCCGATACGCATCTAGTGTTTTCGCTTGTATTTTCACTATTTCTTCGAGAGGCGCATCTTCCCCATGACACATAAAACGTTCTCTAGCCGCTTAACTGAATATTGAACGGTTGGCGGTGATCCCAGATCAACTTCTTCATCTTCTTCTTCCTCTTGGTGCTCTTCCTCGCCCTTTCTTGCATGTTGTAATATGGCTTCCTCTGTCAAGTCTGCTGTTATAGGCAAATCCTGATCTATCACCATAAAATGCATTCGCTTAGTGGCTGATCATCTTCCAAGTCCTGTTCGTATCCTGTCTCAGTAATAAGTCCTGCATGATGATACGAGTGTTGAATTGTTTCTACTGACACCTTTTTCCAAGTTCTATTTGAACTTCCCCAACCATCCTTCCGAAGCCTTGAAACCGATAACGCCAAGCTGTTCAGCAAACTTTTCTGCTTTTAGTTTTACGATGGGTCCAGAGAATGATACATTTTTAAGATGTTGCTGTTGGAACCACTGCAACATTTTTCTTTCGGTATAGACAGTGAGAAATTCGTTGTACAGGGTGAATTAATACATAGCTTTGTATGGAGACGTAATAATACCACAAATTTTGTTCGTAATACAGAGTTTTATGTTATACAGAATTTCGCTGTAGGAAGTTTTCACTGTACTTACAAACCCAAAGGCCACGAGGCTGCCCAATTAAAAAGTGATTAAAAGAATGTTACAAAATTTCGTAGATTTTTCCTTCAACAAATGTAGGCTTAAGTTGAATAAATCCGTGTCTTCGTTGTTCAGAAAAAACACGGTTATTGGGCAGGGTGGTCCAAATTCGATAGAAGTCGAAAACAAAAAAATTTTTATCGTGATACGTCAAAGCGTTTCTGAGCTTAAAAATGCGCGTTTCTAAAAACCCTCTATAATTTTTTCATTTGTAAAGATAGAGATTTTTTGTTTTTTTCTTAAAGCGTTTCGTTCACGGGATATAACACAAAGTGACATTTTTTCAAATGGAATACCCCAATTTAAAGAAAAATGGTTTTCTAATAAAATATCCTGTCAAACGATGTGCCATACACCTATTTTTATTAAGTAGTTAAAAAGATATCTGCAATTTTTAATAATTACAATAGTAGGCTGTGCTTAACTGTGACCTATGCAGTTTCCCGGTATCTGAGTCAAAAATGGCGTCTGCGTCAAGCTATAAAAATGTTTGAACACTTTGAAAAGTACGACATGATAAAATGTTATATTGAAAGTAACGAAAATCGACAGAGGACAAATTATTGGCCCATATATTTTTGATAGAAATTTAAATGCAGAAAGATACCAACAAATTCTCGAAGAGCAGGTAATTGCGTTTATTGACAATTTGGCACTTCACGACGCAAGAGATATTACTAATTTGCTAAATAATGTACTGGATCGAAAATAAAGGTCCTATATAATGGCCCCCCAGGTCTCCAGACCTGACCCCTTGCCTTTTTACGAGGGAGAATCCAAGACCTTGTATTTCGAAATCGCCCAACCACTAGAAGGGAATTGGAAGAGGCACTTCGTACTGTATTGAGACAGCTTCGTGCGGTAGAACCTCTTAATGCAAAAAATAGCGTCAAAGGAAGGTGTAGGATATGTTTATAAGAAAACGGCCGTCAATTTGAGCATTGGTTTTAGAATTAAAGAAAATTGCTTTTAATAATTTTATTTTTATTATTTTAGGGTTGGTAATTATTCTGAACTAGGAGTTATAGTGCAACTTGATTTTGTATGAAAAAAAAAAACAATAAAATTTTATCTACACATTTAGAGAAGAAGTAAATGTTCAGATTTTCACGAAATTTTATTTATATATATATATATATATATATATATATATATATATATATATATATATATATATATATATATATATATATATTTTTACATGACAATTGTTTCGACAACACCGCATCTTTATCAAATGTAATATTTACAAACTACTTGCTTAATCAATACATTTGAATGTCTCATTTTGCTAATCTCCATGGCTTTCAATAAATTTAATTTGTGTTAAAATGTGTTTTTCTGTGTTTAAGTGTGTAGCATAATTAGAATCTAGACTATTGTTTTTAAACGCTCTTTTATGTTCGTTAATGAGTTTCTTGAATGATCTACCTGTTTGTCCAATAGACACCTCTATGAATGTTATTAGAATGTGTTTGATATTGTGACTTGCCATTTGTTGTTCTTGTAATGTATTTAATGGCCAATAAAGTCTAAAGTCTATTATTATAGTTATTATTATTATTAAATACCAGCAGGGCTCTTCCGTCGAGTTTTTCATAGAATGAGAGTGTACTGCTGTGGCACTTTGAAAACCGGAGGAGTCCAGAAAATTTGAACGAAGGTACTTACCCTGGGCATCATGAGGCCGTGGCACAGGAAGGCGGGCGGTACTGCCGGGGCGACCGCCATCGACTGGTACATCGCGTCCTGCGAAGAAGGCCCCTTGGACATGGCCAGATTGAGGGCGGTACCCGCGGGTACCAGCGGCGAAGGTCCCGGTGCGTTGGAGGACCGCTGGTGGTTCTCGAAAAATGACGTCATCACGCGTCGCAGGGTCGAATTCCTGGGACCCCGTTCGTGTTGCACAGCTGCAAGGGTGTTTTTTTTTTTTCGAGAAAAATCCACAGGCTACCGTAATACTTTTTACAAAACTTCTGGATTCCGCCTGCGTCGAACTTGCAAAACGTTTCGCCAGTCGTCCTGTTGGCTTCTTCAGAGCATGACTAAAACTCAAAGTTCTGAGCGCCGGAGGAATTCAGAAGTTTTGTAAAAAGACACGATTATACTGCAATAGTTCGGATCACTTTCTCGCAGTAGCAGTTCCAATTCTGGCGAAATGTCCCTTTCAATTTTTATAGTGTAACATCAAATTTTACATCTATTTTATTTCTTAATTTTTCCTTTCTTTCTTTTAGTTCTAAACAAGCGCGTACGGCACCTTCAAATTCATATCCTTGATTTTTTTTAAATTCGTCTTCTCAAGGGTACGGTGTGTAACGTTACAGATCTAGACCACACAAACTTGCAACCATTTTTTTAAGTCCTTCAGGTTTCCGTTACTAAGTAGGAAAGCATCTCCTTCCCTTACCACAGTTTCTGCCCGTGTGATAATAATCCGCAATTTTGACCACAAAATAATTGTCCAGCGTCGAAGATCTTCACCATTTGATAGAAGTGGCAAAACACAAAATTGATGGTTTTTGTGTTCTTTTATAAAAAAAGTAAAGGTAACTTTTTGAGCTGTACAAGGGACCTACCGTCCTTGTTCATGCCGGCCTCCTGGCATTTCTGCAGCCTGCACGCGCGACACTGGTTCCTGTGAGCCTTGTCGATCGTGCAGGAACCCTCCTCCTTGCCCTTGCAGATGTACTGGCGGTTCCTGCGTATCGACCGCTTGAAGAATCCTGCGCAGCCATCGCACGCGAATATGTTGTAATGTTTACCTGACGAATAGTCTCCGCAGACCTTGCAGGGGATGTCCAATATACGACCTGCAAAGGAAAGGACTGTCAGTGAGGACTGTTCCCCCTTAAAACAGACTATACGTATTTTATTTTTCGTTTATTTCTCTATGGGTCGGAACCGAAGCCTGTGATAGAAACTATTGTGACGGGAGATGAAACTATGGTTCTCTATTATGACCCCCTATCAAAAAAAAATCAATGGAGATGCGTCGTAAGGGTGAAGCACCTCCAAGAAAATTCAGAGTCTGCCAGTCAACAAAAAAGGTGATGGCCACGATGTTTTGGGATTGTGAAGGAATTTTTTTGATAGATTTTAAAGAAACTAATACCACTGTCAATGGTAAATATTACTCAACATTACTACATAAATTGCGAGACTGCATACGTGTAAAACGTCGAGGAAAACTGACCAGAGGCGTGCGTCTTTTGCACGATAATGCACCTGTCCATACTGTTGGTGTCGCACAAGCTGCCATTTTAGAGAGTGGGTTCCAACAGATAGATCGTCCTCATGTCATTGTCAACATTTCAAGGGTTTTGTAGCACTGTATTCCTTTTTTTTTACAAAAGTCACCTTAGTTTTTGAACGCACCACGTAAACGCCCGAAATTCCAAAGACATCGAGAAACGACATTCATACAATTTCAACGCCTAAACATGACTTACTTTAGAAATAAACCAATTAAAATGTCCGCTAATAAAAATATTTATTTACTTATAAAATAGTAAGTTTTTCAAAAACCAAGCTTATACTATATGTGTAAAGAAAACAAAAAATGAAGGCACCTCCATGGCAGGTTGCGATATGAGACTGGCGTATCACGTCATGGGAATTATCATAGTCTTTTATATTTTATGAGGAAACGCGTTACATTAATGCGCCACGTGCCTGATACTAAAAAAATAAGACTGCACTCTTTCTGTTGTTATTTTAGACATATAAAATAATGTTTTGTGATACTCATCTTATTATCTGCGTCATTATAATTTCACACAATATTTTTGTTTTATTAAAAATTACATTTTACTTTGAAGAAGACGTTATAGAATCTTATAGCGCCTTATTTGTTCATCGAAAAGCACCAATGAAGCACGCTCGGATTGAATTTTGATCAAATCTTTACCGTTTTTTTTTAATTTAAAACGTTTTTTTCACAATCAAGCACGGTCTCGCGCTTTAAAGCGGCCTTAACTTCAAATTTCGCAGTGAATTCGCAGCCTACTCTGATCCGGCGTTCCGTTTAGTCGATAGTCGATCGATAACGCGCGAGTGGCTCGATCTTATCGAACGTGTAGCACAGTTAGCGTCAAGTAGTTCCGATAACGTTGCGAATGATGATTGTCGATGGTATTCGCCAGAAATTTGAAGCGAGTCCCGAAAAAAAATTCGAAAATTAATAATAATAATAAATAAATATTTTCATTAGCGGACATTTTAATTGAAATTTTATGATGGTCGTTTCACGATATCGATTTCTGCGACGCTAATTTCTTTTATTTGATTACCGTGGGAACAATTCATGGATTTTGCATCACGATAATGCTCCTGCTTACTCGTCGTTGCTTGTGTCTAATTTTAGGGCCGAAAACAAAACCAACACAACCAGAAACTAACCAGAACAACAGATGTACTTCATCTCAAGAATAAACATTTTTGGTCCACCAATAATCCACCGATTATCTAAATAATAAATATTGACTTTGGATAGGTAGACAAAGAACCATCAAATGACCTGCCAACAGCCCCGACCTGAGTCCTTGTAATTTTTTTTTGTGGGGATACTTAAAAAACAAAATTTATCATAATGGGCCTGAAAGCGATAAGAGAAAGACTTAAAATCGTTTTACACGATCTAAACAGAGAAAACCCTAATAATAGGAAATTCAAAGGAGATATTGTTGCATGTACAGAAAATAATGGAGGTTATGTGGGTAATGTTTAGCACTAATATTGATATTTTTATTGTTTGAATATTTTTTATATTTGGCGTTTGTCTTCCTCTGTCTAACCCATTTGAAATATTTTTAGTTATTTAACTCAAAAGTAGAACATTGTTAAAGCAATTGCAAACATAGATAAAATGGTGGCTATCAAGGCAGACTTGACCTTTTTGTTCCGCACTTTTGTGTTCCCAATTATGTTTGCGAAAAAGTTACCTATTTCAGAGATATCCATTCTTACAATACACGAAAATGTGGTAATTTTATGTTGAGAGAATGTTCTATTTTTAAAAAATGACGTTGCTGTCATTTTGACAGCTTTCGATCGTCGTTTGTTTTTTCTGACATTAGCGTAAGATAATAGAACAAGAATATTTTGTATTTACGCTTTTTGTATAACTAACGAAAATATCGCGAGTCCGGTACTGGCTTTGAGACGCTGGCGGTGAGGGACGACGTCGACACAACGAGACAATCTTTCAGATTTGCCGTTGCTGCGCCCGTAAGAAGCGACGCTTAGGCGTATATACTCGTATATATATATGAATACTCACACATAATCGATGTCGTTTACGCAAGAAATGGCCGACACTCTGATCTGGACTGATCGCGAAGTCGGTCGAATTTTTTTAATAAAAGATAACGGCGGCGGAAAGCCGATTGTCGATCGTCAGCGTTCGTCAATTAACTTCAAACTCCAGGTGATTAGACGCAGATAACGTCCGAGGTGAAGGAAAACAAAATCACGAACGAGGCCTGATATCACGACGCGGACGCGTGATTTTTTTTTTATAATTTGTGCAAATTAAATAAAATTATGTGACGAATATGCTCTTTTCACATCATAACGTTTTCATTAGCTGTAACTTTTTCTTCGAGATATCAAGGTAAACAAAAAAAAATGAAGGGTTAGTAGCCAGTTTTTTTCCAAGTGACGTATAAAACAAAACACTGTCTAGCCTACATCATTTTTTTTTTAAACGGAACACAATGTATATTATGTATGCATGACTACAATGGTGTAACACACTTTATATTTTAATTTTTATATAAGAGAGCCCTGACTGTCAAATAATACGTTTATGTTTGACATGAAGAGCACTCCCAGTCTCCTCTATTACTAGAGTATATGAAGAGACAGATATGAAGAGAAAGAGACAGAGACTCTGGGATTTGAGTTTTGAAAGAATATAAATATAATAACCAAAACTAAGTGCAGAACAATGTCAAAGGAGGATGCAGTTTTGTTTGGATTTTTTAAATAGACATAATGAGAATAAGGATTTTTTGAAAAACAGTTTATGGACTTCTGAAAGTCCGTTCACTACAAGACAGGGTTGCAAAAATACGCGATATTGGTAGTTAAATAATCGTAGACAAATACATGAAATTAAAATCCAGGGGTATGGTCTGTTCATAGATATAAGAAAGTGGCCAATTGCTTTTGAATGGGATTATCCAAGGGTGGTCATTAACATACAATGCAACAAGATTATTACCTCAAGTTTCGAAATTTCTTTCTTTCTTTCCCAAACAAAACCCCAAATAATTAAATTATAAGCAAAGTTCGGCCATATTTCATTCTTACGGCTTGCCCGGGTCTTTCCTTAATTCGTATCAGTTAGTCACTTTCTTATATCTATTAACAGACTTTACCAATCAATTAATGTATGGTGTGGTGTCATAGACGGGCATATTTTGAGTCCTAGTTAACTGGAGATCATTATTTGCAACTCTTAGAACACCAAATAGAACAATATATAGAAGAAGTAAATATACCAGCGCTGATTACAGTGCACTCCTCACAATGATGTGAAAGTTAAACTGTTTTCTTTACACGGAATATCCCAAAGGTTGGTTAGGGAACGGCGGAACTATGCATTGGCCAGCCAATAGCCCTGACTTAACTTTAATGGATTTGGGTACGCATAAAAAATCACGTGCACACTTGCAATAATGTTGCGGAGCTTCGGCAAAGGATTTCAGAGGTAATCAATCAGTTAAGAGGCAATCCGGAAATGTTTGATCGAATCTGCTTTCGTTTTGGAAGAAAAAAACATGCTTTAATGAAGATGTTGAGGGATTTTTGCACAAGTGGTAAATTTGGTTTTGACGTTATATTTCTTTTGAACTTTTGATATGTGGTCAGTGATGTTTTGAATGTAACGAAGGACAACAGTGGCAAGTGTAGGATTACTTTCGGCCTCATTGCTATTGGAAGGTTGTGGTGAAGTGTATTTTGTGATAGAACGCTTAATATGTTTATTGTGGAAATTATTAGAGGGAAGAGCATAGGTAAGGTGTTTTAACAAGAGAGTTTTGGTTAGTTTGAAGTGAAAGGAATTAAGTAAGGTGGATATTTTGCTAGAGAGTATGTTGGAGAACCAATGGTGCTGACAATAGGTCGAAGGGGTCATTCTAGTTTGTCTGATAGAGAAGAAGCCTTATTGATAGATTTAAGGTTGACGATTTGTGTTCACGACCACCGTAGCATTTTCCTATATCTGCAATATTGGATTTACGGGATTTTGATTATTTAAGGATTTCTTTTCATTAGCTGTTTGACGTGGTAGTTTGTTTAGTAATGAATCGAGATTTGACATGCGCAATAATACGTGGGACAAGGACAAAGTCGGAACCTTTTGAAATAACTAATTTTCCCGTTTCCGAAAGTTGGTGCTATGATACATTGATCACAGTGTTTGGTAGTTGAGAGAAGTTTGATGGGTTCCCTAGTGTTAATTTTGCAAATTTCTGAAGATAAACGAAGATTTAAAACTTTGTCATGGATCATGTTTGAAAGGGTATCGACCTCGGATGGGGACTAGATGGAAGCACTTCTTCTACTTGGCCTATTCCCTTAGGAAGGGTTTGATGAATTCTTTCTTGAAGTAAAGCGAATCTAGATTTACGAAGAATCTTATAAGCTGATGAGGTTTTACAGAGTAATCTTACCAGCAGGTCTCTGACTTATAGTATAGTAGAATAGGCATTGTAACTTAGTTTTCGTTACATTTTTTCGATTGAATTGTCGTCCTACTTCCTGCGCTATCACTATACCGTTACTATGGGTGCGACCCACAAGA